GCACCCAACCAACCAACCACCCACTTACCACCCACAAATCAGCCAACACCAAAAAATGCTTAGATAGCCAAAAAACGGAATATTTAAATGCAAAATGCAAAATGCAAATAGATTAGCGCACAGAAAAAAGCTTATAGCGTACATACAAAAAATGGCACTGGTCCATGCCAAAAAATCTAAAGCCCTGCAGAAAAAAAAACAATCGAAACAACAGCAGCAGGGAACAACAGCAGTCGCATGGGGAATTGAAATCTTAAAAAGGTTTTAGCGGAGGTTTATTCGAAGGGAAAACTTGATTGTGGCAAGCTACAATCTGTGGAATAGTATGCCAAAAGGGAGGTGGTATGATTAGGTGAAAGTTTGTTGAGCAAATTTAAGTGTAAAGAGTAGTAAAAGTTGCCGAAAGCTTTCATTAATCATTTGGGAACCTATTAAGGTACAGGAACTATGAGCATATATGCTTTGTACTTTACGGAACAGACTGGCAGTTGCTTTCAAGCCCGGGCATTTGCTTTTAAATAGTTTTTAGGCTTTCATAATTTTTAAAATTGTTAGGACACAAAACGAAGCAGCATTTCCTACTCAAGCGAACTCGGGAATATGCCAACTAGATTTCCAACATATTTTCCAATTATCTTGATCTCAGTTAAGTAGATCAGCCTGCAATGTTGGACCAAAAATATAGCCTCAAAGGTTTCTCAGTAATGCAGTAGCCTCTACTCAACTATAACTAGGAATATGCCCACTCTCCTTTCAAAATACTTTCCAATTAACTGCAACTCATTTAAATAAATCAGTCTGAAATGTCGTATGCCCCTGTAAACCACACTAACCAGACCAGCATTCAACTGCAGCCTCGTTAGAGGGATCTAAATCTAACTCACTCTTAGTGTACCAGTCCAAATCCCATACGATTAGCTACAAAATGTATATGAAATGAATTACATTTTCGATTAAACACAGCAAATCAATAGAGCCCCCAAATGAGTGGGAGGAAAACAGGATAAAGAGCAATGAAAAAAACCATATAAAATGGCAACCACAACATCAACGCGAAATGTGTCGCATATGGGCTGTGACCAGGCTGTGAATAAGTAAATATAGACCGCATTTGTGGCTGCTTACGGATACGGATATACGGGAGGGAGTGTATGTGTGTGTGAGTGTTTGACTATTTTAAAATGTGACCAACTGGCGAGTTGCGTGGCGTGGCGAGGCGTAGCGGCGTGGAATGTCGTGGGGAGAGGGAATGGGATGAATTTAATTAAAACGTTGACCAACACCAGTTGACGTTGACGCTGTTGTGTGTTGTATTTCCCTGTTGCTGCTGTTGTTGCTTTTGTTCGTTTGCATGTGCAACTGTGCGTATGAGTGACATTAATGCGAACATTGGGGCCTGCCAGGAGAAGGAGATGTGAACGGAGGCCAAAGGCAAAGGCAAAGGACGCCAACGCATGTTGTGCGTGTGCGGAGCTCCCCTTCTCCACTCTCTGTCTCTGTCTCCCTTTAGGTGTTCCCCTCCCACTCTGTCTCTTTAGGTGTTTGTTTGTGTGTCTCCTCTTTGTGTATGTGTGTTTGTGTGTCGTAGTCCCTGCTGCTTCTAGGTGTGTGTGTTCTGCTCTATGTTTGTTTTTGTGGTTGTTTGTGTGTGCTATTTATGCGCCTGCGTCTGTCTGTGTGGGTGGATGTTTATGTGTTTTTGTGTAAGTGTGCGTTGGTTTAAAAATAGCACAAGCTACTGATGCTCCATGCTCCCTGCTCGTGCTCCTGCTCCTGCTCCTGCTCCTAATTCCAATGCTGCTGCTCCTACTGCTGCCGATGATGATGATGATTTTAGTGTCCTTTTGCCAGCCCAACGCCCATTACACCTACATTCCCACCACGAGCCACGTCCCCTCCCTGCCTTTGCCTGTCAGCCCAACTGGCTTGAATTTATGGCCGAAAATATAAAGCAGGAAGCAAGCACACACACACGCCACACACCAATGCAAAACTTTGTTTGATTTTTCGTCTGCGTTTTGTGTTGGTATTTGTTGTAATTGTTTTGCGATTGCACAATGCTTGATTATTGTGCAGAGAGTTTGCACAAAACGCAATGGGGAAAAGAAACTTGCAACAAGAACCATCGCAATAACAACAACAACAGCGACACCAATACAATCAACAACAAAAACAGCACTGAAGCAAATTGCAAACACCAAAAACAACTAAGAAGAACAATGCCTACAGCAACAACTAAACCTACACCAACACGAACAGCAATTACAACAACAACATAACCAATTACAACAACACCAGCACGAAGCGCATAGGCGGATAGGTACAACAACAATAGCAAAGGTCGCCAAGGGACAGAAATTACCGTGTTTTTGTATACTTTATTGATTTTTGCTTTCTCCTTTTCTTAGTCTGCGCCTAGCACGGCCCCCATCCTCACCTCCACCCCATTGTTGCCTCTTGCTGCCCATCTACCTCGTACTGCCGCCCCCTTCTGTGTTGGGTCTCCGCCTGCAATTGTGCGTGTGGTTTCGCCACTCGCTTCCCAAAATAATTTACTTTACTGTTTTCTTTTTTGTTTCTTTGTTTTATTTTCTTACCTTCTTTTGTTTACATTGCTGTTGCTTACGTTGTTTATTTGTGTACGTCTGTATGTATGCAATTTTTGGTGTAGTTTCTCTTTTTTTTTTGCTGTTTTTTTGATGGCCATTATGCGCACAATAAACGTTTTGTATCGTGACCAAAGTCAAATGAAAGTATGCCAGGGGTATGGCCCACAAAACACAAGTGTGTGTAGGTTTGTGCATGTGCGAATGTATGTGTGCCTGTGTGTGTGTGTTTGTTGGAAAAACTAGTTCTTTTTTGCACCCAAGGCGATTGTCTGAGTGGAGGTTTCGCTTTCGTGTGCCTGTGTGTGTGTTGTATGCAAGGGTGCGCATTTGTTTTTTAAAGAAAATTGTGGAAAATGCGTTCGTTGTCTACTTTTCAGGGGCAGCAAAACTAAATACAAATATTTTGTGGAATTGTAAAATTGAATTGAATTTTTGTGTAAATTAAGAAGCGCTTTTAGGCAAACATTTAGTGAACTAGTTCATACAGCTGCAAGCCACTATTGAACTAGTTTCAGACAAGAACTATAACTGACTAAAAACTCTTAATCGTAGTTTAGTATTAAAACTGTAAGTAAGTTCAACATTAAGCTACATTTAGTGTTCCCCTCCATTAATAGTTCCTCTAAAGAACTAGCTCATTTACTGCTATTATCATTGGAACTAGTTTAAGTATTTAAAACATAAGTTTAAGTCTCCTTAAATCACATTTACCTCTCGCAATTTCACTTTTTGTGCTATTTTATTTTCATATGTGTGTTCTCCGCTCTTTCTTTCTCTCTCTCTCTCTCTCCCCGCTCTCTCTCTCTCTCTCTCTGTCCCTCTACAAAAAATCTTGCCCGCCACAAAAACCACTATACTATTATGCAAAAAAAAAAAAACTACGCCCCCTCCCTTTCTAAATGTACAAAAACTTTTCAAAAATTCAAAACAAATCAACAAAAAATTCTACTAAAAAACCACACCCAAATAGCAGGTAATTTTGGCGGCGTACAAGGTGTCCAAAAAGTTCTCTCGCCCGGCGATCTACAGATTCATGCAAATGTAAGCAAACAAGAAAAATATCTAAGAAACAAAAAAACCCAAAAAAGAAAAAGCAAAAACTGAAATTTGAATGTGTGTGTGTGTCTCTTGTTTATATATTTAAATATATTTATTTCTTATGAGTTGTTTCGATGTCCTACTACAAAATGAAATCAAGGAATGTACAATGTTTGTTTCCGTATACGTTGTTTACTTTTTTCAAGCACTGTCGTCTACCCACCAACACTTTCTCTCACTTGGCTCTCACTTCTACCCACCACACACCACTCGCCCTAGAATATTTTTGAACTTGCAAATTGCATTTGTTTTCCATGATTATAATTATAACTATGATGATGATGTGCTCTGTTCTCTCTATACCTCTAAATCATCACTTGATTTTGACTCTCTTATACACTCTCCTCTCTCTCTCTCTGTCTCTCTCTCTCTACTTCCTCTCTGTCTCTGTCTGTCTTTTCCAACACACAAAATCTTTTGGCTGTGAACACGTTAATTAATGAGAACTTTGCCCCACAACACACAATATTTGTATACGTTTTCTGTGTACGTTTTATTTATCCTTTTCGATTTATTCTCTCTGTAAATGTGAACAAAAACCAAAAATGAAATTTCGAAAACAAAAAGAATACTTGGTGAAATAATTTGCATGGATATCGTAACGCTGTTTCCTCTGTTTCCTTCTAACAACAAAAAACCAGAAATGACACTGCTTAACACACACTCAAAACACACACACAGTTTACACTGTCCAACCCAGTCATAGGCTGTCCCTTGAGATTGAATCCTGCCCTTAAAAACTTAACTTAATGCTCTTGCAACTTTTAGCCAACACAGATAAGTATTTCAATCCCGAGCCCCTTTAAGCCAGGCACCCCTGAGTATAAACTAGAGCACAGTTCCCAGCCCCAGTCCAAGCAATTCCTTGGCACTTGTAGCTCTAAATCGTAGGTCTACTTATTATGATATTCATATACTTATTTAGCTTACTCATACATCTTAACTAACTAAATATCTATCGAAAAAATATCACTGAGGAACATGTCCCAGAATAAGTCTACAAACCCTCAACCCATCCTCCGTTTACTTTACTTTTATTTGTTTACTTTATCAAAGCCATAATTTCGCAGTCAAGCAAACGATTTACATTTGATTTTTCAAACATATTTTTATTACAATTCGAAAAGGACAACAAACCAAATGCGCAGGCAAGCAGCGAAGAGTCCCCTGAAGGGTACCCAAACTTCACTCTCTCTCTCTCTCTCTCTCGCCCTGTGTCCCTATTGAACCCTTAGAGCAATCAAACCCTAGTACACCTCTACATCATCATGATCATCTACTACCATTCTACAGGCGGGCGTCTACAGGTGCGCACCTCACTGGATCCCTGGCGCCAGCAGCGGAGCCTCAACGAGCGCGATCTTTTGAGCACCAGTGCCGGCGGCACATCCAGTGATTACCGCCTGTTGGCCCACACCAGCCAGCGGCTGTACTCGTCGGCGGATCAGCGCGATCGCTACGAGCTGCAGCTGCAGCATCGCGAGCGCGTGGAGCAGTATCCGCTGACTAGGACCGCGCGGCTGGACGTGCAGCAGCGCAACTCGCTGAATCGCACCAATCACGAGCGACAGTTCGTCGGTGGAGCGACGAGTGGCGGGGTGACTGGTGCTGCTGGCGCCTACCGACGTGCCCCGCCCTTGGCCGCAACCGGCGGCGGTGGTAGCAGCAGCAGTAGCACCAGCAGCAGCTACTATCCCCCACACAGCCAGGGCCAGTCCAAGCCACAGATTGTGATCGGTTCGGGTGCCTATGATCGAGGAGGCGCCATGTCCGCTGACCAGGGCGGCACCGGCTCGAGAGGCAGCCTAAGCAGGGAGCGAGCGCTGTTGGGCGGCAAAGGCTTGGGCGGTGGGGGTGGCAGCAGTTCCGTCAGCTCCACGGAGGCAGCCTACTGGGATGAGCCCGCGGGGGGCAGCACCTCATCCTCATCGGCGGCCCAGGATTCGCGTCGCTTTACCGAGCGTAGAATAAAGAAAACGGTACGCTTCGATGCCCACGAGGATGAGGCCTCAATTATGGCCGGCGGCGGAATGATGGGCAGCGGATCGTTGCCTCCGGTGACCACCATACTGCCTTCGACAGCGGTAGATGTGGGCTCGGCCACGCTGCTGACTAGCGGCAAGATGGGCGGCATGGGACAGGGACCACCACCCATGGAGGGGGCTAGTGCCGGGGACTGGGCCAGATGGGAGGCCGAACGACAGGGCAGCCAGGATTCGGCGACCAAGGATTCGGGCATTGACACGAGCAGCACATTTACCAGCAGCGAGGACTCAAACCGCGGTGACGGGCCCAAGGTACAACCCCCAAAAGAGGAAGATCCAAAAAAAGGGGGAAGAAACTAACACCAAGAACCAAAACCAGAACTCCCCAACTCTCCAATTGCATTGTGTCTGTGTAGAGTCTCTCTCTGAGTGTGTGCTCTCTCTCTCTCTCTCTCTCTGTGCCCCAACAAACTCTTTTCGTCTGTCTGTGTGTGGCCCAAACCCGAAGAACCAAAGAACCGAATAACTCTTTAACTTTCTCTCTGTTTGTTGTTCTTTGTCATGTCCCCAGACCCTCCAAAAACGCATTTGTAGAGACGCCTTTGACCCAAAACCCTAAGAGCTTAACCCTAAATCCGTAATCCCCAAAGCGTAATAGCATTTTTGGTTTGTACACAATCTGCGCGCTCTCTTCTACTTATACTCTTGACAATTTTCAGCCACAGAAACAGATCAAAAATCCAACAACAAAATACAACAAAATTTTGCATGTACTTTTTTGCATGGAAATAAAGCAACTCTCTCACACAAGCCAGAATCCGTATACTGCACGTACCTACCTATCCTCTTTTGCATGAACTCTAAATGTTGTAACTGTTGACCGACACTGTTTTCTTCACTCTAACCTATATCCAATAATATCGCTACACAACACTCCACCGTAATGGGAGAAGTAAATGACTCTTGAAGCGTGTGTGTTCTCAAAATGTTAGGAATACAAAAACCAAAGACTGAATGTCGAAAAACTGAACTAACTATCTAACCACAAACCATACAAACTATCCTATCTACCTACATTTATGAGTTATGCCAAACTCTATTCGTAATTGAAAGTAGAAAATGTTTATCTAGTACTTAAGAATCGACCAACGGGAATGAATGTAAACCGAAAAAAAAAGAGAAACCCAAAACAGAAACTGTACAAAAATTGTTGCTTACTAATTGCTGTGTTATTCGTTTTCGTACGTTACCCAACTCTATGTGTAAGATTAACCAAAACTCTTTAGCGTGTAAGTCTTTTCAACTCTCTACCTCTGTCTCTCTTTATAAGTATAATGTTTATGGTGCAAATCAATAACTAAAATTAATCATTTACTACTACTACTTCCTGCATACTGATGACGACACCCCCATCCACGATTATCCACCACCGTATCCACCACACGATCTATCGATAACGATAACAACAACAACAACAACAACCAAAAATCTATGCAAAATTGCCATTGCACGAAATATCATTCGTATATAATCCGTATAATCACAATCCAACCAACCAACCAACCAACCAAAAACCACCATCCACCAAAAACCACCCTGACCAACCACCACTCCACCACTCCACCACCACCACTGTATCCACCACTCGTATCGTATCGTATATCGTATCAAATCGATATATATATATAGAATCCGGTGAATTGGCAAACATCCGCGGATAATACTCGCTTGATTGGGCACATGATATTACGTAAATACTATGATGGGGAAGATATATTAGGCTTAAAGGTCAACGGCGGCCAGCCCATTGGAGGAGGAGTAGGAGGAATAGGAGGAGGAGTAATAGGAGGACCATTAGGAGGAGGTCCATGCGGTGCTATTGTGGAGAAGGTGAAACGCGGATCGGTGGCCGATCTCGAAGGCCGCATACGACCAGGTAACATTTTGCCATTCCCAAACAACATCTAAGCCATTCCTGACTCACTCACTCATACGACATTCTTTCTATCTTTCTATCTCTCTCTCTCTCTCTCTCTCTCTCTCGCTCTCTCGCTCTCTGTGTATCGATCACACATCATCATTACACCACATCCAACAATCGATTTGTCATCGATCAGGCGATGAAATCATCGAGTGGAATGGCCGTAATTTGCACAACAAAAGCGCGGATGAGGTCTACGATATACTCGACGAGAGCCGCTTGGATGCGCAGGTGGAATTGATTGTCAGCCGTCTGATCAGTGGAAGTGGCGGCAGCAGTCAGAACGTCAGTCCCAGCAGTGCCTCCAACGCCCACGCCCACGGTCACAACAACAACAGCGGAAGCAGCAGCAACCTACCGCCGGTACGCCGCTCCTCGGCCAACTTTCCGCACAGCGGCCTGGCCAGCAGCATGGCAGGCAGTGCGGTGGTTAGCAGCGGCGGAAGATATCTACAGCGCAAAGGTACAAAGAACAAATTCTGCATTTCTGAGTGTGTGTTTGAGTGTGTATTTGTGTGTATGAATTTCTGGATGTTTCTGATAAAGAGAAAGCTTAATGGGCGAAAATTGTTGCTTAGTTTGTAACACTTGTACCTTGGTTTTGGGTGTCTTTACAACCAATTGTCAGCAATCAAACAGAAGGGCATGTCTTAAGCAAGGAAGTTTTAGAGTTTCCTAGAGTCTTCGAGCAACTTTAACTACCATTAAAACCGTACACCAAACTAACGATACAATAACCCCAGACTGAAACCGCAACAGCAACTCAAACTTGTAATCAATCCCAAACAATATTTCAACCACTGCTAACCATATTTTCATCATTCTATCCCCCTGTGTAGCGCCCGCTGTTGAGGCCATTGAAATCCATCGTGATAAGCCGAGTGTTTTGATAACCTCACCCGGCTCACCGGACATTCACGTAACTGCAGCGGGCAACGGTGTACGGAGTCAACGTGGCGGTTCCTCGCAGCATACACAGCGCCTGGGAGCAAGCCACAGCACTCACAGCCACAGCAGCAGTGGGAGTGGCAGCGTCAGCGGCAGCAGCACCACCAGCAGCGTATACGCAGCGTCCAGCAGCATACAGGGCGTTGCACCCGTTGCCGTCGCCTCCGTGTCGAATTCTTCCTCCGCCCCGGGCGGAGGTCTGCACGGCACAACGACGGCGGGCCACCATCACCATCACCATTGCCATCAGCCATTGCCGCCCGCCCATTTGCATGGCAGTCCCCTGGGCATGGGAATGGGCAGTGGGGCGGGTACGACAACGCAACCGATACCGATCGAGGGGCGGCTGCAGCTGAAGCTCGGCTACGATCAGAATACACTTCAGCTGATTGTGACGCTGGTGTGTGCCACAGGCCTCTCACTGCGCCAGAGCGGAGCGGGCCGAAATCCCTATGCAAAAGTGAGTTAAAGACTGATGGTTCTCTAGAGATTGAAGCTTATGCTGTTGACTGTCCTTTTTCAGGTGTTCCTGCTGCCCGATCGTAGCCACAAGTCAAAGCGGCGTACCAAGACGGTGGGCACCACCTGCGAACCACGTTGGGCTCAGACATTTCTCTACTCGGGCCTGCGACGCTGTGATCTTAATGGACGACTGCTTGAGGTGAGTTACCAGCCACTAGTAGGTTTTCCATTGATTCTACTTCCCCTCTCTATTGCCAGGTGACGCTGTGGGATTATGTGCGGTATGGGGCCAACGATTTCATCGGCGAAGTGGTCATCGATCTGGCTCATCATATACTCGACGACGAGGCCGAATGGTATCAGCTGCAGCCGCATCAGGACACCTCCTATCTCGTATGTCTTCGCCAGGCGTTTACGTTCCGTTGCATTTTCCGTTTGTATTTTCGGTTCCATTCCGTTGCGTTCTTGAGTGTGGTGTTGGTAAACGTAAAACTAAAACAAAAAGAGAACTAAATACCCCAAAGGAAAATAATAGACTTTTAGGATGAAAGTTTGTGCGAGCGAAAAACTTAACACAAAAGTGAAAAATTATTTTTTAGTTTTTTGTTTAATAATTCTTTGTGTTTAATTGTTGTATACTAGATGTAATTGTCCTACTAGCCCCTGTCCCCCCACCCTGCAGCAGCTGTGCCCGGTTTGAACAAAATTATTAACTCTCAGCATTTGCCATTATCTTTTCTTTTGTTGTGCACACACCACTATACACCTCCCACCCCCCAAATTCAACAACAAAAAACAACAACTACAACTACACTACGACAACAAAACACCAACAAACAAACGTGCGCTCCATCTCTTTCTCTCTCTCTGTCGTCGTTCCATTTTGTACCAAACATTTCGACGCAAAATTTATGACAACGACCACAACGCACCACCCAACCACCACCCCACCTACCGATGTACAGTTACGTGACGAGGGCAGCGATGTGGACGGCCTGATACTGACACCGACAGATCATTTATCACCGCCGAGCACCATGTCGCGTATGAGCGACTCGGACACGACGTCCGACTGTGACATCGATGGAATGACGCCGGTGGCCAGCATCTCCTCGATGGGAAGCTCGGCCAGTCCGCCGCCCATGTTAGAGGTAAACAGCAAACAAACAGCAACAACAGCCACAGCCAGAATAACTATAACAATAACAATAACAACAACAACAGCTACAACAATACACTGAAAAACCAAACCAACGAAAAATAAGAATAAATCAAATTTATTATTTCTTATATATGTATGTATATAGTACACACACACACACACACACACACACACACACACACACATGCGCGCACTTGGAAAAAAAAGATAAAGCAAAAAAACGGAAGATAAACAGCCAACAACAACAACAACAACAACAATCAGAATGACAGCAACAAGAGTGAGGGAACACCTCTCTTCACGCACACAGTCCATGGCTGGCAGCTTCCATTTCCACTTCCACTTTTGGTGGCACTTGAACAGCAGAGCTCTGCTGCCCCACACACACACACAAGCATATGGACTTGCCCTCAAACACACACACGCATAATGATAGTTGGCTATGTTTTTTTTCTGTTTTGTTATGCGAAAGCACAAAATACCGCCCATACTCTGGCTGAGGGTATGGGTTGAAGATGTATCTTTAGAGTAAATTTAATTTGAATAGGAACTGATTTTTACTTCTACTGCAATCTGCAGATATTTGTGGTCAGATGCTGCAGCAAATGTAGCTGTCAAGGATTTAATTCTAGATAAATATCAGCTTTAGATGATTTAAAATTTAAATACAATCCGGCCTGTATTTCGTTACTCTTATAAAAAATCAATCGTTCAGATATTGATCGGAAAAACTCACACAGCAAGCAAATCCAAGCAAAAAGAGTATCCAAACATCGTGTGTGTGTCGTGCTTTTACCTTTTTTTTTGTACTTTATATTTGTGTGCTTGACTTAAGTTTCGCTAGTTTATTATTATTATCTCTCTCTCTCTCTATGTGTGTGTGTGCTTTTTTTCTAAGTGTAACTCACATATCACACACATGCCACGAGCAGCAGCAGAAGCAGCATTCTGCGACAGACTCAGCCTCTTCAGTGAGGCCGGGAATCTGGCCATCCGACAAACGCACAGCAAAATGCCAAAAGACACACAAAGGAAACAGAGGCGCAGATATGACTCGCATACACACAGACACACATTCAACCATCTAGCAACTGCTCCATCAAAGGACTCCATTGCTCTGTTCCAAGTTCCTGTTCCTGTCAGTTATCAGTTTGCATGCCACTGCAAATGCTATACACAGAGACATCACAAAGACAGACACAGAAACAGAAACAGACTGAGATACAGCTACAGACACTTAACTGGTTCATGGTCAGGGACAGAATCAGAATCAGAAACAGAAACAGACGCTACATCCAGCGACAAGAACGTGTTTATGGCCAAGAGACACACCACAGGCATTCGTACACCAACCTACAAATTGTACAAAAGTAATTTATTTGTGTTTCATGTTTGTTTTTTTGATTTACGTTTTCAAATCTAATTGGTGTCGTTGTTTGGTTGTGTGCGTGTGTTAAATTTTTCTCTCTCTCTTTCTCTGCCATTTGAACACTCTCTAACTCTAACTCTAACCATGAAAAACTCCGTTTCAAAACCGCGTTTTGACCGCGTCTTTTCAGCTAAACGATAAACGATAAACGATATACGATAAAAAACCGATACTAAATGTTGCATTTAAGATGTTTGAAAGTCTAAGTCTAGTCTAAGAATGTTTTAAGTTAAGTTTAATGCGTGTAAAAACTTTCAAAACTTGAGAACACATACTGCCCAAGGCAGATCGATCGGGATAACGATCTCGATCTCTGTCTCTCTCTACATACTCTATCTCAACTCACTATACTCCACCCAATCTCAATCAAACTTCAATTGAAAAGCACTTGAATACCGCTTATTGCATGCCTCTCTCTGTAGTTTAATGCTTTTGCCCATTCTTCCTTAATGCTTCCTTTCGTGGCTTTCACCTTTTGTAGCTTTAAGTGTGTAGACTTGATATGTGTTTATTTGATGCAGAAAACTAAACCCACCAGAGATTAAACCCCGAAACACAGACACAACCCAGAGGACACTCCCACACAAACACAATGTAATATACATAAATGATCCCACACATATGTGTAAATCTCCTCCCCCATTGCTATTTGACTTTCCTCTCATTTTTGAACCATGTGTAAATTTCTTTATTATTCTACTCCTTCTTTTTCTCTCAACTTTCTCTAATGCTCACGATAAACCCACCCAAACCACCAAAACCCGAACTAAAACCTTTCGTCCCAACCAACCCATCCGTAATCCGTAATCCGTTTCCGCAATCCGTTTCCGTTCATCCATGATCCAGCTCGATCTAAACGAGCGTCGATCCAGACGCGACATGTCACCGCAGGGCCGCAAACGTGTGGCCGGAATGGTAGCCCGTGATTATCGCACTGTATCTGGCATTGGACAAAGTTATCACAATCAGGTTTGCACCTCCTAAGCTAAATTAACGACAAATCAATTGCCAACAAAATAAACAAGAACAGAACAGAACAAACAAAAATAAAAACACTTGAAAGTTAGCAAAGGATTCAGAGCGAAAACATCGCGGACACTTACTCGCGGACACTTACACGCGGACACTTCATGCTGATAAGAATAGATCCTAAACAGATCAGTCGAATCATCAAATATGTAGCCTAGCCATAGCCAAGTTCTGTTAGTTCGAATCACTGCAAACAATTAATGCACTTTTTGCAATCTTTAACTCGAAACTACTAAACCATTTCTGCACCTTCATCGATCAGAACTCAGACCCCCCCATTTCTTGTTGAAGATTGAAGACCAAGTGCGGCCTCTCTTTCGCGCTCTCTTCCGCTCCCTGTCTATCTTGCTCTCAATGTATTTTGATTAACACACTTTTGTGCCTTTCTCTATCGCTCTCTAATCGTAATTCAGTATATCTAAGTATATCCATTATATTATATACAATACTCAATGTTCCAGTAGAAGTTGCAGTAACCAACCAACAAATTACACTATCCACCATACACTCTCACACACAGTTTGTGCCACTAAACCACTCAAAATCGAACCACTAACTCACTCACACATATGCCTAGTTTGTAAGTTCTAATTTGGGGAGGGATTTGTGTCAGGGTTATGGGAGTTGCCTCTTGGGGCAAACTCTTTTTCGGGGCTGCTTTCCTTGGAGCTGAACTAAACTTGAATCTACTTTCCATATGCCTTGCCTTGACACAACAGGCATCTGCCACGGGCTATTATCGACGCGGCGGCGGCGGTGGAATCGGTGGTAATGGTGTCGGTTCCTCCTGCATCGGACCCGGTGGCATGAGCCTCAGTCAGCGCAGTCATTCGGCGGCACCCAACGACAGCTACCACAGCGGCGGTGTGGGCGGAGTGCCCACAGGTGTTCCAGGCTACGGCTATAGGAGTACCAGTCCACGCAGAGGCTCATTGTCGCCACCCGACGATCGGTACATAGACTATCCAGTGCTTCCAGTACACGGCTCACCCAACGCACCCTCCGTTTATCCGGGCACGGGTCCGGGCATTGCAGCCACATCGGCCACACAGCAGCAGAGATTTCAGTCGCGCTCAGCCACAGCCACGCCGACAGGATCGCCAAAGAAGAGGCAACTGCCACAGGTAAGTGGCAACAGACTATAGAGGTTTCATACAAGTTCTCAGCTGAATTTATCTTCCTTCCTTTAGGTTCCTCAGACCTCACGTAGCGCCATGCTGCGTGACCGACTGGGCCAGGACTTTGACGAGCGCCTGGCCTCGGGCAGTCGCTTTGGGCGTCATCGCACACGCCAACCGCATCATCAGGCCACCTACCGCAGCACTGGCATGGGCGGCTGGGAGCGCCACTACACGGGGCTGTCCGACAGCGATCTGCACTCGATGGACGCGCGGATGAGGCCGCGGCACTCGCTCTCGCCGGACAAGGACTTTATGGGCGAGTTCGGTGACTCCGATATGGAGTCTGTGGTCAGTGTGACGTCCAGCGCGTTCTCCACGCAGTCGGAAAGGCCGCGCACCTCGCGGGGACTCAGGTGAGTGGCACCAGCACCGCGTTCGCTTCGGTTTAGACAAAACAAAATACAGCTTAAGCCAAGCAACGCTGCCAAAATTATGCTGAAAATTTCCGCTCTGGGCCACGAACACACGAATTGGCCAAATTCTCCTGTTTCTGTTTATACTTTTGTGGAGTAGAAGAGCTGCCAGCTATATGCAAAATCCAAAATTTCCCCTCAATTAGGCTCTGAATTAGTTGATTAGAAAACAGCGCGCTTACCGCCTGTAGACACAAAACACGGATACACAAATACAAATACACAAACAGAAAACAAACCAAAAACTGTACAACACTGAAACAAAAACAAATGCAAAGCAAGGCAAAAAAAACATAAAGTTTCTTTTCTGCATTTACTTTTTGCGTTTACCAACCGACAAAAACCAAAAATAAAATATATATCGAATAAAAATCAACTCGCTCTCTCAACGCTCTCGCCGCTCGCTCTGTCTCTCGCGCGCGCTCTCGCCACTCTCTTTTGTGTTTGAAAATGCTTCTCAACACACGCTTACACACGCCACCCACTCACCAACACACACCACAAAATAAACCACACACCACATAAACTACGAACCACTACAATGAACACGCTGACCTCGGACGTCGATCGTCGTTCCTATTGTATATCATATATTTATAACATAAAATCAACATCAACAACTATAACAACAAAATAACAATTGAAACATTCCATTGAACCCCACCACCAACCAACCGTTTATCCATCACACGCGCTGAGTGCTGTCTTCCAACCACTTACCACTCGTCACTCGTTGCATGATTAACCACACAACAATCCCCGATATAAACTACACCAACGATATAAAACTACACAACCCGATACCACCACTACCCAACCCGTTACCAAAACCGTTACCGTTACCCGATAAATAACCGATAGCTTCGCCCACAACTGGCGCAATCTCTTTGGCGTACGCAACAGCTTCTTGGGTGGAGGAGCCAACGGCGGAGGACCCGTGACTGGACTCCGCATGATGCATCCCCTGGATGCAGCCCACCGTGCCAACACCATCGAGGTGGATGACTGTGACTATCTGCCACACGTGGCGGGTGTCGGCGGCACACAGCAGCTGCTGCTGCTGGAGCAGCTCGAGCAGTTGCAGCATTTGGCGGCCATGGCGGCCGCCGATTCCCCACCCATTTCGGCGGGACTTGGACTCGGCGTTGGAATGGGATGTGGGATGGGGATGGGAGTACCACAACGTGTTCTGGTGACGGACGCCAATAGCGGCGAACTGGTGGAGCAATTCTTTGTGGAGCCAGCCACAGCCGCCGAGGAGACTTCGGTCATTGATCCGCTTGATCCACTCGAACCACTCGATCCTCATGTGCATTTGCATCCGCATTCCGTCTACTATTCGCCTCATTTGTCCTCAGCAGTCACCAACAACCACCATTCGTCATTTCTGACGCCCAACGACATGTTCCAACGACGGTCCAACGGACAGACACCACCCGCCTCCGCCTCAGCCTCTGCCTCCGCCTCAGCCTTTGCTCATGCCTATCCGCTGCCGCTGCCACTGCCCAGTTTTGAGCAATTCAAGCGCATTACCACGCCCGTCATGAATCTCTTCCGCAGCTCCTCGCCCATTCCCAATGTCCACGCCCACGCCCATGACCACGCCCACACGGTATCCTCATCGCCCAGCTCGTACGTGGGCTATGTACGGGACCATCTGGACAAGAGCTGCAGCCACTGCCAGAACGGCAGCCAGCCGGTGGTGCTCTCCACGAACACGGCCCTGGCCATGCCCGGACTGACGATCGGAGCCTGCACCGATCCCTGCTGCCTGGTGGACTCGCATCCGCATCCGCAGCACCAACCGATTGCGTACCCGTACAGTGCGGAGCAACTGCTGCGCCGCCCCTCGCTCTCCGCTTCGATGTACCAGCCGAGCAGCTCGGAGCCCTCGCTGCCCACCATGGACCCGGCAATGTGCGGCGAGTGCGTCGACCAGCACTTCCTGGGCGGCCTCACCGGCCCCCAGGTGAACCTCGGCGCCGTGCCCACATACCACGTGCACACGCCCACGCCGACCGCCCATCGACGGGCCAAGGCGCAGCTGGCGGCGCCTCCGTCGCTGCCCACCCAGTCCGTGCTGCGTCTCTCGCGCCAGCTGAGCGAGGACGCCCTGGTGTCCGCCGTGCCCATCTCTGAGTCGACGGCCAAGGCGCAGCCCACCTCGATCCTGAAGAAGCCGAAAATGGAGCGCCGGCGCATGTTCCACGAGGGCCAGTCACGCTCCCTGGACTACGACGATCTGCACAACAAGAGCTGGGGCCGTCGTCGCATCCGCTACGAGGATGAGGTGGCCCAACATGAGGCGGCCGCCTATCCCTATCCCCATTCCTATCCGTATCCACACTCCTCAACGTCCCCGGCAGAGGCACAGCTGCCCATGTCGCGGCGCTACGGATCCGAGACGAACATCCGGCAGTCGTACATGGGCGCCAATGTGGATGCCCACAATCCGCTGAGCCACTCGCATTTCCTGGTCACCGATGACAAAATCGTGACCATCACCTATGACTCGGACGTGGGCTGGACACGGCGTGGCGTGGCCCCATCCCTTTTTCGTGGGCCGCACCGGCAACAGCGTGGAGCCATGTCGCTGGATCTGCAACGGACCAATCAGCAGAAGCTTTACGGCCCGGCGGCGCCGTATTTGAAGCGTCGGCGGAATCTGCCGCATCCGCCCAGTGCACAGAATGCGCACAATTTCTCGCCCATGGAGGCACGGGACGGTGGATCGACGGGGATGGACTATACACTGCCGCAGCATGGTGGCGAGCAGCGGGGCGGTAACGTCGGAATCGGAAACGGTAGCGGGGGCGGGGGCGGGGGCGGTGGTCAACACAACAATATGAACAGTAACAGTACCACACTCAACCAATCACACCACAACCACCAAAATCACACCACAGCCACCAACCACCACCTCCACCACAATAGCCAACAACAACAACAACAAGCGAGTAGTGTTAGTGTTAGTCAAAGTCACAACAAAAAAGGGAAAGAAGGCATCGCTATCGGCGGAACGATGGCATCATCGGAGCAACAGACGAAATCTAGTAGTGGGAGCGGTGGTGCAACATCTGCTGCCGCTGCTGGCAATATCGTCGTCGGTGGTAATAATGCTAATAATGCTTCTTCTTCCTCTTTTGCAAATCCCCCACAACAACATCATGGTGTCGCCAATCAACCAATTACAACAAATGCATCACCCAACACCAACACGAACACCAACATTAACAATTACAACAATTACATGAACAATAACAACAACCAAAACCGTGCCCAATCATCATCAACACAACCACAACAACAACAACAATTACAACAACCAAACACAAATTCAACAACACCAATGAACACAACAACGAATGACGTGACTCATGACGCAACAAATCCCACACAACAACAACAAAATACATGCACAAATCTCATCAACAATACAACAACAACAATCACAACTTCAACAACAACAACAACAAACACATCGTCGAATGCAACGAATGCGGCGACAACGACGACGACAACAACAACGACAACTGCAACAACAACAACTGCAACTGCAACAAATGCTACAACAACTGCCACAAATCCAACAACGAATACAAATACAACAAATAATACGAACGATACAAACGCAACAACAACGAACGATGCGGATGCGGACGCGGATGCTCCGCTCGATGCCATCGACTGGGATGCAATCGACGCCATGTTGGATGACGACTTCAGCGAGTACGACAAGGAGAAGAACGGCACTGAGGGTGGGGCCAAATCCACGGAAGGTGGCGCCGAGGGAGAAGATAAAGCTGGTAGAATTTTTGTTTATGCACTCCAAATATTTTTCATATGCAATATTTAAATTTATTTCTACCTGCAGATGGTAGCCAATCGGATACCGCCAATGATCGAAAGAAAGGCGGCACCGTGGACCAGGAACGCTCGCCCAAAGGCGGCAGCGGCATGGGCAAGAAATCCAATTCCACATCCCAGCTGTCCGCAACAGGTAGGACAATTTTGAATCCATTTACGTGTTTGCGCTCGTTTACAGTTCTCTCGTTCTGTTGCCTTGTGTTTCGTAATCGATATTCAGACAATCAGTCAGTCTGTCTGTCAGTCAATCAATCAGTTAGTCAATGCATTGTAGGCTCAAGCCGGAAATTGTATCCGGTTGATGCTGCATTCCATCGTCGCTTTTTTTTGTTTCTTACACACATTTCTTAGATTTATTCTTTTAAGTTCATTACTAACCGTAATATCATTGAAGCTAACACATTGCCTATACTAACTAAATACTAAAAACAAAAACAATTAAATAACGTATAAAATATGTATGTATATGCCGTACTCGAAGGTCGTAAAAGACGTATGGGCTTTGGAAAGAAGGGTAAGAACTCGTTCACGGTGCATCGCAGCGAAGAGGTGCTGCCCGGTGATATCACGCGGGAGCTGCGCGGTGGCGGTGGCGTTGGCGTCGCTGGTGCCGGTGCTGGTGGTGCCAGCGGTGCTGCCGGAGGCGGTGGCGGTGGCCTATCGCGTGGCTCGTCCTCGGAGGCGGATGCCATTGAGCAGTTTTTCGGCGATGGTGCCGGTGGGGAAAGGTGCGCACAAGTTCAACTTACTCTCTATCTCTATCTATCTATCTTCCAACTCTCTCTCTCTCTAACTCTATGCTATACTACAACTATCAGTTATATTTTCGGTTAAGTTTTAATTTTTGGTGACTTTCTTTTTGGTTTTAAGTTGCCTTTATTTTCGTAAAGAGGAAAATAAGAAAATGAAACGAAAATCAATGAGAAACGAAACGCTAATTCAGATAATTAATGATGATAAACATTAGTTAGCCCAGAAAAAACAGTAACCAGTAAGCAGTAACAGTACTATTAACAGTAACAAAATAACAGTAAAACAGTAACAACAAGAAACACTCCAAGTAAGCCTCCAAAATAAACAGAAAAAACTCCCTTTAAGCACACAGGATGTCATGTCCTTCTAATCATAGCTGTAAGAGCTTTTCAACAACTTTGCTCTCTCGCTCTCTATTTCTTTCTCGCTCTGCGCTCTCAAATGCTTTTCTGCAAAAAGCTTCGTTTCAAGCCAAAGCTCTACCGCGCGCGCGTTCTCTCTTTCTCTCACTCGCTCTGACGCTGACGCTGCAGGCATGACAAACTGTACCCTGTAACTGTACCCAGCCTACTCCTGAATTACTTGATTTATGATTTCCGCTCTCACCTTTGAAACGCAGGCGCAGCAAGCCCAGCCAAAAAAAAAAACTAGAAAACAGAACAAAACCCAACCAAAAAACAAAATAAAAACCAACAAACCAACAAACAATCCAAAGTCGATACGTATTTTTAGGCTTAACAGGGAATACTCAAAAGAAATTCCCAAAGGCGATGATGATGCGAGGCACACCAAAAGCTTTGCCTGGCCGCAGTTGCATGTCGCTGGAAATAGTAGCAAATGCGGCACAACGCAAAGCTTTTGGCTGTGCGACAACCAACAAACCAACAGCAGCAGCAGCACACACTTTTTACGCTCACTGTATGTGGGGTGTGCCAGAGTGTCTGCTCCGTTTTGCACTTTACGTTCGTAGAGAGATTTTTTTATCAAGAATACAACTTAATTAATTACTAACCCCCAGTTCCTATTGTTAATGCCATTTATATATAAGAATACAACCATATTGATTTCAATATCCCACACATATATCCAACATTTTATTCTAGAATTCTGTTCGATTTGCATGCATTGAGTTATACCAATACCGATACCAATACCTATGCCTTTACCTTTATACTCGTAACAACTCGTACGCGACATATCCAGCTACCTACTAATCTCTTACAGCCTCCGTAGCTCCTTAACTCTGTATCGCATAATGATATCACAACTCTCGTAAAACTTAGTTACGATTCCCATTTATGTAGCTCGTGGCGTGTCGTGTGCGGTAAGAGTTATCCAACATTGTTCATGCTCGAAGGAGAAAAAAATATAAACTCGTAAGGGTCCCCCACCACCATACACATTTTTCCAACATTATCCAACACTTTGAAGCATGCCCGAGGATATTTAATAAGCTGATATATCCCCATGAGCCCCATGTCAACGAACTAATGTTTATCATCTGTTTCCAACAAGATTTTACTTCAGTTTCATTATACTTTGCGAAATCAATTTGGAAATATTCTATTACATAAAAAATAAAACATATATATATACAGGGAGCTCTGTCACAGAAAGTCAACAGCCATGCCATCCAACAAAACGACAACAATAACAACCAACAACACTCACAAAAGCTCACCACAACAAGAACAACTAACAACAACAACAACAAAACAACAACCAAAGCAGCATTAAGCATCCACCAAAATGAAATCATCTGAGAATTGGCCAAACAAATACAGCAACCAAATTCGCATTACATACAACAAGCGATACCAGTTATACCAAGTGCATCATCAAGTAAATACAACTAGAAGAACACATCCAATGCAAACAAGCAAGCAAATGAAACTCCTTAGGCTGGACCGAGCTGGCGGAGGTCCAAGTTGGGAATCGGTGCAATCAGTTCTTTCAATTGCAAAAGACAAGCTAACAACCAATCAATCACCCTGCAAATAGTAGCCAATGAGTAAATGTTTTAAGTTGCGCCACAATATATAAATATATATATACATATAGGATAATGTATATTTAGTCTATAATGTTATATGTTCTTATACGATATTCAGTTTCTCGTACTTGCTTTATTTGTATTATTACTATTTTTTGTTTTGTACATCTTTGCGTTTGCGTTTAAGACTCTTTTCTGTGGCTTAAATCTGTGTACAGTTATTTCGCTACTTCTTTCGGTGCAGCCAGCTTCGATTACGATTGCGATTACCAATACGATTTCGATATTAGATTCGGTTCCGTTCCGGTTTCCAAGAGCCCAACGTCGATGAGTAGTCCCCAGAGGCAGTAACCAGCGTCGCAATTTCCCTTTACCATGCATTGTTGCTGTTTGTTCGCTTTTGAGTTTCGATAACGATACCGATAACGATAACGTAAAACACCCTTTTGTTGTATATATAACTGTACCATATGCCACCACACATACGAGTAGTATATATCAATATATATCTCAATATATATATGTATAAATATCGTTGTTTCCGACAGAACAAGAGCAGTATCAGGCACAGTATTCAGGCAGCTCGACTAGCTCCGCTAGTCAGCACCATCATAACACACTACCACCACCACATCCATATTATCAACGGCAGTCGCGCGGCTCGGCGGGCAGCATCCAGCGATCGGTGGAGGTGCCGCCGGTGCTCTCAGTGACCCGTTACAGTGCCGGCAGTATACACTCGATATCTAGCTCCGAGGGTTCATCGTAAGTTTTACTACCACCCGTTCGAACGTTCGGGCATTCAGCCGTTAGCGATAACGATTTACGATTAACGATAGCAATTAAATTACAATTTCCAAACAACAACCAACAAAAATATCTACATATTAAGAAATTGACAAAAAAACTCTCCTCTCCATCTGTTTCTCTCTCTGTCAACTCTGCCTGTGCCTCTTCTCTATCTCTCTCTGTGTGATTCTCTCTCTCTCTCTCTCCTTTACACTGTCCAACTTTAATGACTTAAACTGTTTTTCGATTGGCTTTTGTATATGGTAATCTATGTCGCGTTCCTTAACTATAATTTTGACTCTTACTTTAACACTCTCTCTCTTCATCTCTCTGTCTCTGCCTTCCCTTTTTTTGCCGTCATCTTAATTGTTGTCTATGTGAGCCTTGAACGCGTTGAAAGCGACAGCCTGCATTTTTCCGTATAACCCTTCTACTATATTTTCTCTTAAATGTATTTCCACGTAATTTTTGCTTCAGTTTCATTTCGATTCTCTTCCACTTCTTTGTGTATTTTTCTTGTGTAAACACGTGATTTTCAGTATTGATTTATGCTTTTTATTTTGCAGCAATATCTACTACCTATATATATATATGTATATGTATATAAGAAAGTTATTCTCACCTCTCGATGTGTGTGTGTGTATATAAAAGACAAATGTCGAGTACTTAGAGTACAATTTAGACCTAGGCACCTAGACCTCTCCAGCACTGTGGCTCTTTTTATAGGGTACTTGCCCACCCAACTCTTCTCCCTAACAAAGAATAATTCAATAGACCACTACCATAGTATATATCTTCCAATTCTTGGGGAAGATCGTATAGACACGCATCATCTAAGCGACTCCGACTCCCAGCTAGTTTTAGTACCTTCTTCTCTCTCTCTCTCTCTCTGTGCACCTTTGCTCCTGGGAACGCTACGAACGCTTGCATGCCACCATCTCGAATTGCGATCTGTGACTTTTTCTCTCTCTGTCTGTCTCTCCTTTTGCACCGCCACAACCGCCTGTCACCCAATAACCACCCAAACACTCGATCATTTCAGTCCACAAACAGATGCAGTCGCAACCACCAAAAAATACCAATCCACCAACAAACTACAACTACATTTAACTGTCTTTCTACAACTCCCTGTGTATAAGAGTTATTTCTTTCTTGAAAAATTAGTTGTGAATTATTATGATCTCTTATTTAAATGATCTCCAACTGAGAGAGAGGTTTACCCTCTAGCTAATCCAATAGAATTGAAGCACCACTATGATGCAATACTAATCCTAATACTCTTTACACAACTCCCATTCTGCGTCATACCCTCGTCCCCACTGAAACATGCAGATTCTCTCCCTCGTTGCGCAATGATGGAGCCCTCAATGAGTTTGTCGAGGGCCTGGGACCAGGACAACTGGTGGGTCGCCAAGTGCTGGGTGCACCCTCACTGGGCGACATTCAGCTATCGATGTGCCATCAAAAAGGCTTTCTAGAGGTGGAGGTCATACGAGCCAGAGGTTTGACGGTACGTTCAACATAATTCAAACCAGGGAAAATACATATAATAAATTATCTGTTCTCTGTGTAGCAAAAACCCTCATCGAAGATGCTGCCCGCACCGTATGTAAAGGTGTATCTGGTCTCGGGCAAGAACTGTGTAGACAAGATGAAGACTTCGACGGCGCGTCGCACCCTGGATCCACTCTATCAGCAGCAGTTGGTGTTCAAGCACTCCTATGCTGGTTGCATACTCCAGGCGAGACTCTTTGAAATATATTTTGAAATCAATTTTCAATTAACACTAATCGTTTGTCTCTTTTAGATAACCGTTTGGGGCGACTACGGGCGCATCGAGAAGAAAGTGTTTATGGGCGTTGCTCAGATAATGCTTGATGATCTGAATCTGTCGAATATCGTGATCGGCTGGTACAAGCTCTTTGGCACCACCTCACTGGTCAGTTGTTCTACTGTAGGTTTAGGCTCTAGGCGCTCATCGTTAGCCTCACTCGATTCACTCAAACTCTAGGACTTAGCGATATGTCTGCGAACTAAATTCGAAACGTACAAATACCAAATGAAACTTAGCTAGAACTTGCACTAGCAAGTGGCCACAAAAACAAAACACTTGCATTATTTAATATTTATATTACACTTACACACACACACACATACACATACACATACACATACACAATATATATTTAATATATGTATTTGCATACGTATGTCTCGACATTGAGTTCCGTATTGACCGTAATGTAAAACTAATTTACCAACCAACATTTAATCAGCCAACTAAAATTAAAAAATTTGTAGAGTAGTCAAAACCACAAAAAACAACAACAAAAAACACCTGTAAAATCAGCAGACCAAAATCAAGCGAATTGGTTTGATACGCGCTTAACGAAGCAACTTAAAATAATATCGATAAAACAGTAAACATCTCAAATGCATTTGTTTTTAGTTAGCAAAAATATAGTTACATACCTATAAATATAATAATGACACAGACACACGCACACCTGTAAATGAAACGCTTGTTATATTCACACACACAGACACCGAAACACCCACAACCACCACAACCATGAGGCCAACAACAACAACAACCACAACAACATCAAGATCCACAACAACAGCAATTTGCATTGTATGCTGAAAAGCTGAAATGAACAATGAAATGTTGAATATGAATATGAATATATAAATATATATCCTATCTCGCAAAAAGTCACCATAAATCTACTGTTACTACAACGTAGCTTTCACATAGACTCGTTCAATACTCATATAGGTATGTTTCTCTATCCCCGAACTACCCCCAATCACAAACAAAAATCAATCCAAATATTCGTAGAAACTCACATTCTCACACACACATTTTGTTAAGCATTTTTTTAGTGCATGCCTCGTAGATGATTAAACAAGAAAATATATTAAATATATATATTCTCCATACAACTATCATTTGTTAGCCACAAGCGAATGGTCAGTAAAGTGCTGCATCATTTCTTACAAAAACACACACAATAACCATAATACTTTTTACATATATAAAATGGCAAATCTTGGCTAACACACAATATAATACTCACGATAAATTAGCTTTCGCCTAGGCTAGCTCTATCTTAACAACTAATATTCTTTAACGAAAACAAAGTTCAACAAGTTCTTCTATAAAAACACCTTAAATTAAATTTTAAAACCACCACACCAGGGTCGTCCGATTGTTTGGGCCGGTGAATCAGTCATAATGGAGGAGCCGGGTGAATAACACTTTTCAACACAAACAACACCATGACCAACAACAAGAAAAACAACAACAACAACTACTACAACAACAACCAACACCACAACGAAAACACTTTAAGCACCCAAGCACAATTCCAATACCAAAAGCGAACTTAAAACTGAACTGAATTCAGTAAGTGAATAAATCAACAAATTCAATAAACTGGCGTCTCCTGCTTACAACACTCTCTAGCGCGCTAGTCCACACACACACACACACACACGCATTCTGCCACATTTGCCATTTTACAGCACACTGCAGCAGAAACAAAATAAACCCAATCAAAAAAGAAAACAAAACTATAAATAAACCCAATTAACAAATATCCAAACAAAAAAAACAAAAAACAATTAAAAGCTAATAGAAATATTCCTACATTTAGGAGCAACTGTGACTAATATATTTGTGATTATTTTTCCCCAATTCTTACAGTAACCCTTGCAAAGAGCTGCCAGCCAGGCAGCCAAATAGCAAAGGACCAAGGTCAGCCTGCAGCAGCGGAAGCAACGCGGCCGCCGCCCGATGATACCCATACGTCATGTTGCTGGCCTAAGCTAAGTCCAAAATCGGAATTTTTTCTATTCTACAACCAATGGAGAGGGAGATTTTCAAAGAAAAATTAAGAAAAAAACACGACAAAAAACGATGAAAGAGAAAAAAATATCTAATTTTTGTATGTCATGAAAACAAATGCATTTAACGAACCGAGAACCGAGAACCGAGAACACAAGAGCAGAGCAGTAAAATGATTAAAACTATGGAAAACCCAGATACAAGATAGATATATATATATACGAGTACATATATATACATACATTTACACAAACATACATACATATATATAATGGATAACATATGACAAAAAAAAGGATACTTGTAAATTATGCATATTTAAATTAATTTTTACTACACACCTAAGATCACTATTATTTTCGTAATACGATTACTACGATTATTATTACCTAAAAAAACTATTATTGATAATCGAGAGTTAAAAGAGGAGCAGAAAAAACCAATAACCAAAGAGAGAAGAGATAGTAAGAAGAGAATGTGCTGTCAGACATGCCTAAGCCAACGCTTAAGCTTGAGCAGCGTGTGGAAAGGTGGATATAAAATGTTTATTTAATAATTAGCTAAATCTAAATCGAAAATCTGTAAGTACAATTTATAGATTTTCACAAGATGGCAGTTATTTAAGTATATATACATAAATCTATATATATAGTAAATATATTTACAGATTAAGCAAGCAAAGAACCACTAACACTTAAATAAGCCTAACTTACGATTAAACCTAAACTTAAAGTTAAAGTTTAAGGTTTGGGTAACTACAAATGAAATGGGAGATTAATTCTAGAGATGTATGAGATGATGATATGTGTATTAATCGAACAACAACAACCACAAATATTTACCAAGCGAGAGATGAGCAAGTTTAACTTAATACAAATTCTCAACTTAAGCTGTACATAGAATCGATCCACACACACCCACACACTTACACTTTGAATATACACACACAACATCCGGACTTTCGATTGTCGATTGTCGTGATCTTTATAGGCTTTATAGATATTATTTAGCTCTACGCTCCGGCAAAAACTCCACAGCAAACCCCAAAATGTGCGAGTTTTTGCTGGCTAGCGATGGGCCCACAGCTATGTATTCATATAATTTTAACTAGATCAAATGAGAGGACAACTCTCTCTCTCACACACACACACACACACACACACACACACAAACACTCTCTCTATCTCTCTCTCGATATATAGACACATACTACTATATACTATCAAGCGATTTTGTTGTAGCTGCCCGCGCTTCACCTTTATCACGCTTCTAGAGAATCGCTATAGACTCCGTTTGCGCCGACTCGGTTCCAATCAAACTTGCCTCTAACAAACGCAAAAAAACGCATCAAGTACCTTCAAGTTAATAGTGTGAGCTGTAAAAATCGTTACCTGCTTGCCAAAGACACATTACATTAACAAACATAAACACATAGCGTCGTAACACATTAGCATAAATGGAAAACAGTAATAGGAAAAATTGATGGGAAGAAGGAAAGAAAAACCAAAGATAGTTTGCAATTTAATATTATCTACATTTTAGTTTGAGAGTTGTTCTATTGGTGTTCTTTTGGTGCAACATTTTGCAATGCATTCCTAGGAGGAGGAGCACTGGACTCCGCAATTGGTTCACTTTTAAGGAAACATATCACAGGCCTGGCACAGAGACAGAGTGATGGATGGGAGCAGTTTACTTTTATACATACATACAATATATAGTATACTCGTATTAGGACTATAGTCAATGAAATATTATAATAAATATACGAGAAACGTAGCTATTGTTCCTATCCAGTTATGTAATGTTCGTAATGTTCTTTTTTGCTTTCACTCATGGCTACGGATATTGATTTGAACCTTTCCGTCCATTCATTCAGCTTTCAACAAACACACAACAAGATAAAGTTAAATATATAAAATACATTGATAGGTGCATATCCATCCAAGCAGCTGCAGCTTCCTATATCAGAATTACGACAACTACACAGATACGTAAAGAATTTGCCAAACTACCCCAGAAAGAATGCATTCAAAATGTTGCCACAACAAGAACTTGGAAATGCCACACATTAAACGAAAAGTCAGAAGATGAAGATGAAGAAAAGAGAAGAAAAAAATCAACTACCAGCGAGGTTTCCAGCAACTAATTATACGATATATAAATCAGAGATACATACATGAAAAAAAACATACAGACATTATAGATTATCAGATTTGTACACTCCACTCCGAAAGTCACGAACTTCATACGAACTTTTCTATGATAAAAACTCTCTCTCTATCTCTATCTTTATCTTTGTATTGTTTCCACTTTTGCTCTCCTTCAGCAAACATTCGAAGATGCTTTAATTAATCAGCAAATCAACAAAGAATATGAACAGAAAGTGCAACAAACAGCGGCAAGAGCCGTAGTTGAAGTGCTCCTTCCGTTTGCAATTGGAATAAGACCAAATTTTCTAGAGAAATAATTAGTTAAGATACTCTTTCGGAAAGGGCATTTCCTTCGTTGAGACATAGATGAAAATTCTTATTAGAATTCCTCTAGAATTCGTTACATTTAAGTCACACAAAGGACAAAAGCATATAGAAAATGTTACTGAAGCAAATGAAGCAAAGATATATTACGGCAAGTTATTTCAAAGGGCAAACCAAAAAAAACAAGAAACAAAACAAAACAAAAATGCTATCTACACAACAACCACAAGAACAACAGAAGAATATATCATTTATTGCAAATGTTGAACACAAAATTTGATTAGGAGGCAGGGGCCAGCGCTCGCTGGGCGCTCTGGATACCTTGTATTGTATTTTAATATCTCGACAACAATCGAAGGTCGAGAAACGACAATAAACTGTGAAAAGAATATGTAAAAAACAAAAACCAAAAAAAACAAAAAACTAAAATTATATTATTAACAAGATTTGCAGAGAAGGGCATTATTAATATTGATGAACACACAGAAACTTGAAACTTGTGTAAAACTAACAACTAAAGAGAAACTTTAATGAAAAGCAACATTTAAATAACAAAACAAAGGAAAATTCATTAAAAATTGTTTTCTAATAAAGCAGAAAATGGAGTTTCATTTCCCCCAGGTAAGAAAACTCTCAGATTGTTTTGGGGTTTCACATAAAGCGGTGGTATTTCTTTATTTACCATTGATAAACCATTTAATCCATATGTAGTATGTATAAATAATTTAAACATTTATGCATTTATTAATTTATCATGTTAAATATATTTTTAGATGCGTTTATCCGTGTGGTGTGCCATATCGGGTATTGGGTTTAACCTTACTATCATTTACAAGTTTCGCTCGCTTATACAAAAAATCTGACCCATGATATACGTAATAATTAAATTGGTGTAATTTGTTCTTTTATGCAATACTTAGTACTTTTACTTATTTTTTGTTGGGTATTTCTTTTGAATTAACTTTTAAGTGAATTATGAAATTATGTTACAAAAGTTTCTCGTTTGCTTAAACGTTGCTAACACGTTTATTTTAGTGCGTTTCTCAAAGGAACCAAAGTTAAAGACGACATTCTAAACTATATTTATGGCCTATCCTCTATCGTATCAATGCATGGGATTTCTACAGTTGTATTTGGGGTCTCTTGTTTAGGTTCTGGTGTAGTTGAGTGCCTTTCAAATTGTTGTATAACACTAATCAGTCTTTATAACGAAAATAAATACGATCGAATTCTCTACCATGATGGTGCTCGCGTGCTGTCTAAGGATTATCTTTAACAATTATTTAATCTTTCCTCCTTGACCAGATTTCCAGGAATGTTGTCGACATAACCATTGGCAATCCACTAGAGATACGCTTATACGTTTCGTATACGAAACGATAGTGCCGAGTGGAGGTCCTTAGCAAAATTAATATCTGGCGGCAAACATACTCGCGATCACGAGAGGTGTGCCACGGTCAGATCGGAAAGGAAGATTGGGCACAAAGAGGGAGATTGGAGTTTGGATTATGACATGGAAAAAGTCCTTGAGCCTTTCGAGCCACGAATAATTTTTAATATTGTATTTCGTTATTTGTTGCACAATAAAAGTTGTTTCTATTGCTGTACAACAAAAGCTTTATCTGATGGTGTTACAATTGTAACGCTCAAAACCAAGTATTTCCAATTTATTAATTTGCTGGATACCAAGCGAATTTATTTTTAAATAATAGCATACTTTTGGGGGTTAGACCATACGGTTGCATTATTTTGCTACTTCGCGATCGCAAAAAAGTGTAGCATGCTTTTAGTTGCAACTGAATTAAGAATCCGTTTCATAGCAGCCAGTTCTTGACACGATGAAAAAAATAAGAACCAGTTACCTTCTGCCGATTTCAACCTGGTATCTCGGTCTACCTTCTTTTCAGTCCTTCGTCTTCTTTTCAGGCTATTTATGAGCCAATCTGAACGTGGCATGTATTTTAGTGATCCAGAGGACCTGCCAATTCACTGGCAGAATTACAGCAGATGAAGAAGATCCCTATGAACGATCAGGAATATTTTTCCCTCTCAAAATTATTTAATTTTCTCCGCTATTCGTGGGCCAATCCAAACAAGCCATGGCTTCCCGTCAACACAAAAATGTCCTTACCAAGGATATTGGTTACCTCAGTGAAACAAAATTCATTTGCTAATTGTGGGAACTTCTTGGCGCTCCACGCCTCCTTGTGAGAGAGTCTTTAACAGGGAGGAAGGATCCGAAGCACGTATAAGCTCGCATTCGAGTTCTGCTCAAAGATAAAATTGATGTGTGTGGCAGTGTATCACTATCGCTAATCCTTGCTACGCGAGAATGAACCTTTGGCCAAGAACTAAAACAAATCTATGCACTTGAAGCAGTGTGTCTGTGTGCAGGAGTCCAACGTGGAAAGTCTTAAGTGTTTTGCGTGTGTGCATGGGCATGGGAGATATGTATGTGTGTATGGGGTCGTGGCTAGTAAGTAGTAGCAGTATATCATTTAGTATCATACATTAAATAATAGTATTCATATTGTCGCTTTGTTACATTACATTTTACATTCATCTTAAACGTTAAGCATTGAGAGACCATAGAAAATACTCGCACATATATTTGTTTGTGCATGCAGAAGCCTTGCTGGGGTGTCCACTATATCCGACTAGCTGAAGCTTGGCTAGTTAGTGCCATTACATTGGTTTAGCCATTTTACAATACAATTACTAATCCTTACAATACCGAAAAAAACCATACAATTGCTGCTTAAATTCGTATGCCTTTTGTTCCGCCTTCCATGTGTGCGTGTTTTGTGTCTAGTCTGTGTTAGAAATTGCTTAGGGGGGAAAAATACTTTCGAGTGCTTGCACATGATCAAGTTATGATATTTGTTGCTTCTGTTTAGAGTAATGCATAAGATATAAGGGGGTGGAGAGAGTCTTACAGTTAGCTATAGATATTTTTCCATTCATATATGATATGATAAACTTTAGTTTACATTGATTACCTTAAACACAATTAGCTTATTATCTTACACATTGTATACGAGCATAGCCATGTATAAATATATATAATGTAGATATAGATATAAATATAAATAGATTTAGTTTTGGATTTGGATTTGTTGTAGATGCATGAAGATATATAGTATGGATCGTACATTTAGTGGTTTTCATTGCGTGGGCATTTTGTCATCATGATCATCATCATCAGCTACGACTGAGAGTGGGATTTGTGTTGCTACAAAATTATCTCGTTCGATCCCTATCGTGTAGTAGTCATCTTTTGTTTTAGGCAAAGCAATTGAAAAATGTAAATGAATATATAATATATTCTCGTGTGTACCCAAATCGGAACTCGTTCTCCAGCCGATCTCGAGTGCATTTCATTTGGAAGTTTAGTGGATTAGTGGTGTGGCTTCTCTTGGGTACGACGCTGTACAAAAAACCGAGAGGCGAACTTAGAAGAGTATGGGGTTCACGGATACATTTAGGGGTAGGGTCCTAAGCTACTACAGTACTACGCAAAACTGAGTAAATGGTACATAGATGGTGCTTGGAGCTTGTAGCCTAATGCAGCTGGGCCGTCACATAGAGTCCACAGTCCTGATCGGAGGCCATCGAGTAGTTGGCCGAGTCGCGATCCTCGGGTATGGTGGGATGCGTCTCGTGGGGCAGCTTGGCAAAGGCATGATGTCCGGCGCCGTAGCCCAAGTGGCCGTACGGCGACTCGGCTGCCTTGGTCATGTGCGGCAGGCGTCGCAGGAAGTGCGGATTCGAGTAGCGTACGCCGTTCGGTAGTGTTGTGTGCGGCGCCTGCATTGCCTGACCATTGCCCAGGGCCACTGCAGCGTTGGCATAGTGAATGCCAATGCCGGACGTCTTGAAGCTGGTGACCTGCGACGGCGGCGGCGGTATGCCCCCTCCCATGGATGTGGTCATGGCCGAGGTGGAGGCATAGCCGCCGTTGGCCGTGTTGCCGGCAAGCTGCTGGCTGTGGCAGCCCACCGGCAATGGCATCGTGCTGCAGTGGGCCGTGTAATCAAATTTCTGCTCCGGTGCAGTGCGCTGCATCGGCAGCGTGGCACTGTTCATTCCGGTAGCTGTGTTGAGCGAGGCTGCGGGATCGGCATTGAAGCTGGACATGCGCATGTTGGTGCAGCGGCCGTAGGGCTCCTCCTGGATGGGCGGCTGTGGTGGACGTGGCGGCGGCTTGCAGCTGGCCCTTGGTCTGATGATGACTTCCAGCTCACGCTCTTCGCCCGAGTGCACGCCGCTCGAGGACTCGGAGGGTGCGCGCTCTGGCGGCGAGGTGGTGGTGCTCTCCGTGATCGAGGTGGTGTCACTGCGTGGCGTCAGAGCCTCATTGGGTACGCCCGAGTCGGCGCGACGCAGGCAACGGGATGTGGAACTGGAGGCAATCTGGTTGGACGCAGGATAGAGACAGAAAGAGAGTCGGGAATCAGTGAAAGTGGCTAAGGAGTCGGCTATCGGATAATGAATGATGAGGATGGGTGTGGTGTGGTACGGTATGGGGTTCTGTGTGTGTTCAGTTCTGCCGTGTCTGCAAGTGAAAACAAAATCAAATCAAATCAGGCGGCAGTCTAAGGGGTAGTCTGGGCAAACCCCTACCGCAGGGTTCTGCACCATCCATCAATCCGTGCACTAGCCCGTGCACTAATACGTACGCTCCCTACACATGCCCCATGTCCCTCTGCTCTGTCTGTGGCCCTGGCACTGATTTATGCTGTCTCATAACAGCAAACATAAATCTCCTGCATCGCTCGCCTGCACTCTGCCTTTGCTCCAGGGGCGTGACATGCTACACGCCCCAGAACATGGGCCACGCGTCGCGTCTGTGGTTCCTGATACTCCCCTTGACTCCCTCCAAATCCACTATGTAAATCACAAACAAGAACATGAAATTATCCAGGGTGCACATATACAATTTACAGCGAAAATGTATTACTCTAGCGGAACTATTGGTTGTGGAGTGCATCTAAAATATGTATTAAAACTATTGGACTTTCCCTTGAGGCAATACATTTGATGATAGAATCAATCGTTCATCTACAATAAATTCTTCTATAAATTCCAAAACAAACTCTAATGTTACATTTCTTAAATGCTCTCAAATCTGTTTCCTATTCTCCCCATTTCTTGCAGACTTTCTGCCACAATCTTGGCCATAAGTTATCCTACACATTTCAACGCCCACTTCGCTTCTTCTTGTCCACTTACATGCGCTTCATTTGTGTGTACGGCAACCGTGACGGGTGCCAAGGGACTGACTAGATGCATTTGATTGCCTTGCTGCTGCTGCTGCTGTAGAGGATGATGTGGCGGCGGCAGCGGCTTCTGTGGCTGCAGCGGCTGCTGTAGATGCTGCTGTAGATGCGACTTCTGATGATGCTCGGGCGACAATTGCATTATCTCGGGCATGGCTTGAGGCGCACGTCCAAACGGACCGTGATGGGGCTGCAGCGCCGGTGGCTGTGGCATGGGTGCACCCTTGACGGGCAATGGCGGCGGTGGTGGCGGTGCTGCCGTCGGCTGTGGCGGCTCTAGATCTCTGGTCGAGGCATATGTAATGCTATCGTCACGCACGCAGGCCAACAGCTTGCCCTCCTCCGAGATGTTGTCATCGCTGATGCCGCCCAGTCCGCTGAGGTTCGCATAGTCGTGGGGATGTCCATGGGCAAATTGAGGATGTGGATGCTGGTGGTGCTGCTGTTGTTGTCTCTGCTGCTGTTGTTGCTGTTGCTGGTGGTTGGTTGGAGGTGGCGGTGGCAGCTCATCGTATTCCGACAGGTGGAGCAGACTAACGCCCACCGATGACGATGAAATGCTTCCACCACCGGCTGAACCAACACACGCACCAGCAGCACCCAAGCCCAGACCACTCTTCATGCTGCCCATGGTGATGCCCACAACGGCGCCAGCAGTGGCTGCCCTTAGTGTCGCGTACTCGCCGTCGTCAATTTCCCCCGCAGCACTGGCAAAACATATCGAGGCTCCACGGCTCGTATGGCTGGATGGGCAAGTAATTGAATCATTGGGTTACTGATAAAGGTTTAGGTTTAGGTTAAAAGAAAGTGTGTGTGGATTGTTGCTTCATGTTGTTGCTTTGGGCTTGTTGCTCAACTAGGGAGAAGAACTGTTCAAAGAGCCTTTGAAAAATTAAGGAGCTTTCATGGATCTAAGTTTGAAGAGTTTGTAGTCTCTTCAGCTATAAACATGCAAGGAAATAAAGATGTCTAAGGTATACAAAACTCTAAATTTATCTGGAAATGCATCTAAGTGGAGCTTACTTAGGGATTGATTTGTTCTTCCCTTTCTTAATCACTTTTAGCTCGCCTTAAGTCTTACTCTTCTTGGTTCTTTGTCTCTTATCGCTTGCCTTTCTTTTTACAAATTTAGCGCGTCATACAGCAGCGCTCCTCGACATGTTTGGCTTAGCTACCTCGCTACAAGCTCCATTTTGGCACACTTGTTGCAGTCATTGATAATAATTATACTAATTTGTATCCTCTATTAACATAAACTCCTATTTATTCCAGTGATTCTTCATCAAACTTATAAATTTTGCAACTTTTTCTATACTTTATGAACCCTTTAAAGTCTAAACTTCTCTACGTTTTTTATTGAAAAATAATTGCTCCCAATTGAAGCAACAATTAGTTCGATTCGTTGCCCTTTTGTGTGGTCGCAAAAAGCGCCTTTCCTCTCCTCTCTTTTTTGTGTTAGTTTAATGGTTTCGTTTTCCAGTTAGTTAAACAATTTACTAAACACAACGAAAACAACAACAGAAGCAACAACATCAACACACCATTCAATATTTTGAATGTAGTTCTTAGTATTTGTTAATTGAAATAAACTTCTCTCCCACATCATCATCATCATCATCATCATCACACACTCAATTAGCTAGAGTTAGTAGTAATTAAGTTCTAGATAAATCATTAAAACAATTTCAAAAATGAAAATCACAAAAGAATCTCTTCGTATAGATAGATACATATATATAAAAAACAGGCGACAAGCGGAACAAAAATAGTTTCTCTTCATCATCATCATCGTCATTTATCAACATCCTTCATCCTCTACACATACAATACATCTACATATACATATCTACATATATGTATACATACGCGTATGTATAAAATGATTCATTTATATGGGTGCTGTAGATGTAGATTATTTATAAATCGTTTTTAGTATGAACAAATCAGTCATTTTAGTTTTTAATTGATGGACAAACACAAAAGTTTTAAAATGAAATAACACAGAGAAGAACAAAACTTAAACACATAATTACGAGCGTCAAATGCATCGAAATGAATAGGAAAAAGTGCTGGATAAATGTGGTGGCGTACGAATTTTGGTGTTGCAAAACGCTGCACTAATGACAACTAGTGTTGGGCAATTAGTTTTTTAATTGGATTTTTGCATAATGAGGAGAGAGACACGTGCAGCAACAGGAATACAATCCACACACAGAGAGACACACTGAAAACCGAAAACAAATGGAACATGAAAATGGAAATGAAAATGGTCTGGAAATGGTAGAATGAAACACAAAAATTCGCATAACGAACAAAATTGAAAATTCCTGAAAATTGTGCATCGGTAATGGAAGGAGTTTTGGGTAGGAGTTGGTGTCGGCTGTGGGCGTGTGTGTGGTTATCTGTGTATGTATTTGTGTGTGTGTGTGTGTTGGGAATGTGAATTTGAAAAGTGCAGTGTGGACAAAAACTAAATGAAACTAGATGCTAAGAGTTAATAGAACAAAACGGACAAATATTTGGAGAGCTGCCGAGCTCTGCTCTCTTTTTTTTCTCCCGCACAAATGCTTTTGGTATTATTTTTACTTTTGGTTTGTAACTAAAAAACGATTTTTTACCGCTTGCCATCAGTTTGTTCTTGGTCACCAATTAGTAGGACATCATCAGACGTACTCGTAACTTCATTGAAGGTGACCTTCAGCTTGGGCGAACTTGGCGTTAACTTTGGCCAATAAATGTCCTCCTGTGCGGCCAGACCCATGCCCATGCCCATGCCCAGCTCCGTGCTGGTCGCCGTACTCATCATATCCGGCTTTGAGCTGGAATCATTGCCGCCATTCATGGTCGTGCTGGTGGAGTTGCCACCGCTGCTCGAATTACTGCCCGTACGCTGGCCACTGGACATGAGCAGGGGCTGAGCACTCGCCTTGTTCAGCAATCCCCCATAAGTGTTGTCCATCGGCGGCAGCTTGAAGTGCCAGCGACGTTTGATCGTCAGACACAGCCAGACGACAATCCACAGCAACAGATGTGTGACACCAATGAGTGCTGCAGCTCCAATTTGTATTCCAATCCAAGGGCAGTGCATAAGGAAAAGACAGAAAGTAAGAACAGATGAATGGAAATCCAATATTAAGATTAAGGCAAAGCGAATGACAAGTTAATTGGACAGCAGTTCGAGTGCGACACTCGATAGCCCTTTGCCTTTGCCTTTGCCTTTGCCTTTGCCCCTCGCTGTTGGGGGCGATTAACGTTGTAGCCACATAACAGTTGTACGCTAATTGGCTCAGGGGTTACAGGCCAGGCCAACAGACAGACAGACAGACAGACAGCCAGAACCGCAGACAGGCAGGCAGGGTTCAGGGTGTTATTTAACATGGTTTTGTGGTGCGGTTAGGCCAACCAATTAATACATTTAAACATATCAAATCAAACGATTCTCTCTTTTCGCTCACCTGCCAAAAATGTTGGACAATGCAAATTATTCTTGTAGGTGGCACTCAGATCGTTGAGCAGCGGCGCCTTCACCACAGCCAGTGCCAGCACAAAGCACAAGGAGGCGCAGTGAGCAAAGTAAATCCAAGTCTCGTTGGCTTTCAGCGTGATTATCGAGCGATCCCTCATGCGTGTGGCCAAGCGTCCATGTCCATACAGATACATGACCATCGAGGAGGCCAGCACCAGCGCAGTGGCCAGCAGATACAACGCCAGCGTCACAATGGCATTCAGTATGAGTCCAGGCTGATGCACGGGCATTGCCTCCGCATAGATCTGCAGCTTGTACAGATTCGAGACGCCCACATAGCCCAGGATGATATCCAAAGCGGCCACAATCATTTGCAGACTAAAGACACAGGCAAAGGACTTTGAGGTGTTCCAGAACACGGCCGGATAGCGCACAGACCAGACGAGTAGAGCGCACAGCAGATTCACAAACTCGGCACTCGGTGGCTGTGCAAAAATGGCCACATCGATGGGCTTGTCGATGCCAAAGAAGAGCTGCAACATTCCGGCAAAGCCATCCAGCCGGACGTAGTCATTGCCGGGCAATGTCGGAGCGGGAGTGGCAGGTGTCAGTGCCGGCACCGATTGAAAGTCTCCCTCCTCCAAATCAAAGTCCTCGCTCTCCTCGGTATCCTCCTCATTCGATTTGGCTACAAACTCACTCGAACTGATGCTGCCTGCACCATCTCCCAGCTGATATTCCGGTTCAATCTCCACTCCTGCCGAACGCTTGCTGATTCTTCGCTTTTGGTTCTTTGGCTTGATGGCGATGATCTTGGAGTTGCTCGACACCGGCGTTGAGGGTATAATGATCTCTGGCAGCACTTCGGGTCGCACGCGATGTATGTTGCTGTCCCGCGTTGTGGTCTCCTCCTGCACCGCTTCCCTCTCCAGCATTGCCTGCTCATGTGATGCCACATGATGGCGACGCGGTGGCTGTTGTTGCTTCTTGTGGTGCTGTTTGTGGTGCTTTCGCGTTTTGCTGTGATGATGATGCTGTGGCTGCTTGCTGGCTGTTGCTATTGCTGCTCCTCTCGTTGTTGTTGCTTTGGTTGTTGCTCTTGTTGTGGTTGTTGTTGCTGGTGTTGTAGTGGTGCTGCTGGTTGTTGTTGTTGTGCTGCTTGTTGTTGGCTCCTCAGTTGTGGTTGATCTGCCCTTTCCCAGTGTGCCCAATGTCTGCCAATTTTCGATGCTCAACTTGTTGCTGTCTTCGCTGGCGCTGGCGCTGGCGCTCCCACTGCTTGTTGTTGTCGTGGTTTTCGTCAGAAACTCATCAAAATCAGGCAGTATAACAGTGCCCTGCTCCGGCTCTTCGTCCTCATCGAGCACACCAATCTCCTCCTCGTCCTCGTTGTTGTCTTCGTCCCCATGGATGGCCTCTTCGAGCTCTTGTCGCTCCTCCTCATCAATATCTTGATTAATTAAATCGGGCACTTCAAAGTATTTGCCAGCATTAAATTTTTTGTATTTGGTTGTCGCCTTGGACGTCGTTGTCGTTGTCTTCGCCGACGCCTTCTGTCTGCCTTCTGCTTGGGGTCGTAGCTCGAACAAGTTGTTATTGCCTGCGCCCATGCCCCCCCGCATGGCCGTGAACATGGTGTCGTTGTAGTAGTCCTCTTCGTCCTCGAGACTAACACCATTTGCTGTGGTCATGTTCAAAGTCTGCTGTGGATGCTGCTCCTGCTCCTGCTCCTGCTCCTGTTGATGATAGTGCTTGGGCAGCGCTGTTGGTCCCACCACCGATAGGGCCATCAAATTGCGTCGATTGATAACAACAAAGTCCATTTCAGTGGCCCAAATTTGTTCTACAAAAGATAGAGAGAGAAAGAGAGAAGGAGTGTGAGAGGGAGTGTGTTATGGATGAAGCCAAAAGGGAGCCACTGCCTTGATTGATGGCTGCTCAAGTATATGGAATTAATTGCTTTGAACTCGAGCGCATCCTTCGGCATCGTTGCTCTGTCTCCCCGCATCTCTAATTGGAATACATCACGCAGGATTACATGTAAAGCACCTGTTAAGGATACACACACACACACACACACACACAGACGTAGACACGCTTACGGCTGCTTGGGCAGTAAACAAACACACACAAGTCTCCTCTCTGCTGCTGCTGCTGCTCTTCAGCAATCGTTAATTAAATGAGGCATCGTTGGGGAGTGGTTTCACTGCTAATACCTCGCTCCACAACTGATTAATAAACATTGTAGCTATGTGTATCCTGTAGATAGCCAACTAAAGCTCTCTCTCTCTCTCTCACTCTGCTGACTGGCTCGCAATCAAAGGCCCCACCGCCCAAACCCCATCAAGGCACACGCAGAAACCCCAAAAATGGAGCAAAATACAAAGGAGAAATTGTGGCACTGGCCGTAGTCAGAGCCAATGTGCGCACAAAGGATTTGGCCAAGCCAAAGCCAAAAACAAAAAGGCACGAGCAACAGAGCGAAACAGAGCGAAAGTATTGACGTACAAATCCCATTTCCGTTTGCATTCGAATGCTGTGAATGCGAAAACAATGGCCAGAAATAACAGCAAGAGCAACAGCAACAAGAGTCTCAGCTATCCAGCATCCACCATTAGCTGCCACGCCTTCCTCCCCCACTTCCGTTTTGCACAATCGAAGAGCTCTAATTAAACGCGCATTTGCAGCATATGGTGGCAGCAGCAGCTTTCTCTTAGGATCTACATCTGCTTATGGTTTTATCTAGCCATCTATTGGTTAAGCCCCCCCCCACACAGTGGCCGCCTCTAAGCATTCTAATATTGATGTTTATTACGGTCAAGCAGCAACTACGTTCATGGGACTCTGCGATTTATTGGAGTGTGCCGTGGGGGCCTGGAACGCTGTGGCTGCCAGGGGTAACAGCATGGACTCCCACCAGCTCCCTTTCTGTAGTTGCAATCAGGCAAAATGGAGAATAAGCTGAAATCTGAGCTGTACTCCAACATTTCTAATGGTATAAACAAATAGCCATACAAGAATGCAGCAGAATCAAGAGATTATTCCTCCGGCATGCGAAATTCGAGTGGCAAGAACTTATTTCAATCAGGGAACTATTTTCCTTTCTTTTTTTTGCTTAAGCAATACTTGAATTACTTTCTGGCTGAATTTATTGTGCAATTATGCTTGGAATTGCCATGGTTTAAAGTTGTTAAATGAAGTTAAATGAAGAGATATTCCAATTGTAGAATTTGTTGTGGAATATTCTTTGGCATTGCAAAATATATTTTATATTTGATTAAAAATGATTTAAAGTAAATAAATACCACCCAAAAGCTTACAATCTCGTAACATTTGTGTATATAAAATTCCCGCAAACATTTGAGCACCTATCTGTCCTGCCTTCATCCGGCCACTAACCTCTGTCACTTTCCACTCGAAAACTTACTCTAGACAAAACTACAAAAGCTTTTAGTCAGCATTAATGTAACCTATTAGCTAAGAAGCTGAGTTGGAAATGCTCACAGGCTCACAGGCTCTTAGGCCAACGTTGTGCATTGAGAGGCAATCAGGCATAAATGAATCCTGTTGACAGGTTGCCAATCCCAGTGGTGACACTGGCAATTGATTAAGGCGGCAAAAGAGAAACCCTACAAGATGTGTCCCTACTCTTCCTTGTACCTTTCTCGGCTGTCTGCTGGCTGCTGTCTCTTGTCTAATCCCTTATTAAATCCTACTTCAGAGCCCACGAACATTTTTGTTTGTCTTGGTGCGGAGAAATTTCGAAAGCTCGCTAATTAGTTTGCTTTATGATGTCGTTTATTGCATATCCTTTGAGAATGTAAGCACCACGCCCACTTCTAAGGCTGCTTCTTTAGGGCATTCATGGCTTGTCCTAGTTAATAAAGCAAAGACCGAAAGCAGTGGGAAATTTGCCAAGTTAACACTTTCATAAAATTATTTATTAGTCTGTGGGAATATTTCCTTAAAGGACACTGTTCTGCCCAGCGGGCAGTCAGTTGTGGGAAATAAAAGAAAGTCCTCAAAATGGGAATTGCCAAACAAATATTAAAGACAATGGCCAGGCAGAGCCGAGAGACTGAGGCGGGATTACAACAATGGATGCCATAATAATATGTCGTTGCCGTTGGTGTCGTTCCTTGAGGAGAATGGCAGCAGCGGGAGCGCTGGGGACGGTGGCAAGTGTCTCGTAAAACCGACAACACCGAAAATCTCAAGATTAACCCGAAGGCAGCAGCGCACACTCTGCTCTCCCCTACTTTGACTCTGCTGCCGCCGCCACCTCCTTGATTATGGCAATGACAATAACACCAACGAGAATGAGCGGCCGAGCAAGGAGCAGCGAGACTGCGAGGCAGCTTCAAGGATAAACGTAATGAAAATGCGCAAATCCAACTCGGGCAACGCCCACAAACTGAGTCTCAGGCTGCTCCCCCGATGGAATCTGCTGCCAGCAAAAGGAGGGACTTCCCGCTGCGGTAATAGTTGCGATAAGACGACGAACAGGATGGGGGTTTCCCTTTTCCCTTCAACCCCAAAAGCTTGCTCGCTCGTTAAGTCTTTAGCATGAATAATGATAAGTTTCAGGGGCTCGGGCCAAGAGCCGATATGCCCAGAGACAAGGCACGAACCAACGAACCACAGCGAACCGACGACCTACGGCCGGGGCTCAACGTCTTTAGCCACTTCCGGAGGACCAGGACCACCATCATGCCCTGCCACTTTCCCTCCACCCAACGTAATCGGAGAGTGCCTGTTTAGCGAGCCTTTTATGCGCTCAATATGGCGCAGGTCCAGGTCTCGCCTCTTCCTCTGCTCTCTCGCTTCTGCTATGGCCATTACAATTTTTTCATTTGTTTTTGCTGGATGTCTGCATTAATTATTTATGAGTGCAACATGGCGTACAAGTGATTTTCACCATCAAAATTGTCATCCTTCGCGCGCACTGATTTTCGTTGTAATCTATTAATGAAATTAATTAAGGAATTGCGGTCGAACTGCCCATCCTTCCTGCCTCCTTTATGCCTTCCCTTTGCCCTTAAATGCTTAACGCATTTTCATTGTCTTACTTTTTGTGTGCCGCTGCCCGACAACAGCTGCCGGCTTTAGCAAGTTTTCTTTCTCTCTCTCTCTCTGTCTTTCTCTTTTTTAATAAGTTTTTCTTTTTTACTTTTTACTTTCAAGAGTTGCGCGCATAAAGGCAGCATTTGATGGCTCGATGGGGAGCCAAGTTGAGTTGAGTTTTTCTTTGGTTTATTTATTTTTTTAATGTCGAGAGTTTGCGTGTAGCATGGTAGGGCATTCCAACAGTTAGGATATTAGATATGATATCTAAAGGAAACTCACTGTAGCGGTAGGAATTGAGTAGAGTTTTTCTACGACAAGGAGAATATGTGTTCAAGGATGGGAACTACAAGTGGTTGCCCGAGCAAAAGTTGGAATCTCATAAAGAATGAGCTACTTTTGACACTTGAAAACTATAATCTATATGAATACATTTAAGATTTTGTTGCTAGGCGAAAGATGCATTAAAAATAAACCTAAATGGAAGTGGAAAGTGTATTTCCACACAATTTAATATTTAATAATAAGCTCTTAAGCATCTCATTTCCCTTTTCCTTGAACCTTCCTTTATTTTTTACAACCATTAATTTGCTTATACCCCAAAGGTACAAACTCCTTTTTCTTCTTTCTCTCTGATTTATCACTCTATTCCTTATTCGCTTATTCCCCTTTAGTCATCAAATATTTGGCGATTTTAATGCAACATAATCATAAAATGCATTTGTGGCTTTCCCGTTCTGCCCCCCTTTTGATGGCTTTTCGCTTGCAGCTTTTTATGCGAGTTACGGGAAAGTTTTTTAAAAGCATTTTCCCGTTTTTATGATTGGCTCCGCCTCCACACGCCTAATTGCTTCATCTCTGGTTGGGGTTGGTCCGATTTTATGCTAATATAAAAGTTGAAGGAAATATTGAAATGGAGGAACGGAAATAAGGATGCCCAGTCCCCAACCTAAACACGAATCATTTGCCTGTCAATCGAAGGGGGCGGCGCAGGGAAAAAACTTGTGGAGAATTCTTCTAATTGCTTGCTGAAAATAATAATTCGCCAACTTACAGGCATAAGCGCATCAGGAAGGAGCAAAGACGTCTCCAGACGTCTGACAGGCCAATCTTCGTGAGCTTAAATCTTTAAGGATGTCGCGGCTCGTTGACAAATTGCCCCTAGAGAGGGAGTGGTAGAGGAAAAACTGCAGAAGGCAGCGGAGAAATGCACACAGCGAAAAGGGGGATGAGGTAAGCTGGTGCAGCAAGCAGCCAGCAGCCAGCAGTCAGCCAAGCGTGAAAATGGAGCCAAAAGGAGTCGCGCGAGACTCGCGACAAGGCATTGCACTTAGCTTGACCAACTGGCTCTCTGTTTTGAACTTCTCTCCGTGCTCCTGCTGGTATTTTCTATCAACTGCAACTTTAGCTTTGACTGCTGGATTTTATTTGTGCCAATGATTTTCTAATTTACGAAGGGATGGGCGCGGGAAATGGACAGGAAAAGCGACGGGGATTCAGCTGCAAAAGTTGTGCGAAAACAATTTCCCCTAGCATGGATTTTTCGCATCGACCACGAGAGGACTTCAGAGAGAGAGAGAGAGAGAGGGATGGGCAGGGGGCTGGGGCCTGGTCATGTCTGGCAGCGACAAGAGATTGACTTTGTGGCAGGCAGCCGGCAGCACTCTGGTGGCAGCGCTGTAAAAAGGCGGCCAAAGCAGCGGCCAAAACAACAAAAATAGCAACGAAATTAATTGAAAAATCACATAGAGCAGACGGCAGAGGGGGTCAGCCAGTCAGTGAGTCAGTCAGTCAGTCAATCAGTCAATCATTGAGTTGAGTCAGTGTGGATTTAAACTCATCCCGTCATGGTTTTTATGATGCCAATGCAACTTGCATGGGTGGCTGTCGATGGATCCTGTCCAAAGCTGAATTCTCTCTGCCACATTTTTAATTTACTCCGCGAACCGATGGTTGCCTTTGTCTGCCGGGGTCTCCCACCCGTTCTCTGCCTCTCGTTCTCTCTGTGTGCTTGTGTCGGGTCCTCCCTTTGGTTCAATAAACCCCTACATACAATTCCCCGGCCATCTGGGACTGGCACTGGCAGTGGCACTGCAAATGGTGGCCTGGGACTGCCCCACCGATCTGGACCGGACTTTGACTCACTTTAAATGTAGTTAATTTTGATTTGCCTCTGGCTAGTGGCCCTTGCCTCCTCTCTCTCTCTCCCTCACGCTGGTGTTGCTGCTGCATCTGGTGGCCTGGCCATCATTGTTTCATTGCTCTTGTTGTGCTTTCCACGACAATTGTTGCTACTGCTGGCCTAGTCGTGGCCATTTAGCATTTAGTATTTTGTATTTGAAAGGATTAAAGGGGTATGTCTGCTATCTAAAGATGTTTGCAGCAGAGAAGAGGCTAGAAAATGGGATGGAGCTTTAACAGACAACTGCCTGGAAGACTTATAACTAGGGGAAGTCATAGAAAAACAGGAAATTCCTTATTAGAACATTTGTAGAGGAGATGGGCATTAGGACTTATCATTTCGTATTCAAAAAAGGAATAATTAAGGTAAAGGCATATGAAACAAAACAGTCCTTGATTCAACTTTGATAAAGGGAATACTTAAATGAGATTTTTGAAACATAAAGAGAGAGAGAGTTGTGAAATGGATATGTATTTTGGTTTGAGTTTAAAATGTTTCTAGGGGAAATCTTACACTGAAACTTCTCTTGGAGAGTCTTTCCTTGAATCGAATGGGCCTTAAAAATATGGTTTCCTAAGCTCCTAGGAAAAGATGTAATACAAGTATTATTCTATATTTTGAACAAAAAACCATCTGAACTTGGATTATATTCCGAGCTAATCACTAGCAGCTTCCCTCTTCCCTCTGCCCCTAAGTTCATTTCTTGCTTTTGGGTTCCTTTACTTAGTAATATCTTCAAAATCTCTTCTACTTTCTACGTGTTCATGACATTACAGAGCATCCCTGAATTCGTCCTACACAAACTAATTTGCGCTGCCTTCCAGTTCGTTTAGTTTCTCTTTTTTCTCGCTGTCTGCCATTAACTGTGGAATTAGTTTACTGTGCTACTATGACTCTCAGCCGTCACATGTGAGACTCGTCGATTCGACTGTACACAAACCAACACACACACAGAGAGAGAGACAGAGGCATATGCACAAACAGAGGCCTGCTCCCCCTCCTGCTCCTTCTGCTGCTGCTGCTGCTACTGCAGGGAAAACAGGAGTCAGTGTGGAGTCGAGCCCTAGAGTCAGTGCCTGCCTCACAGTTGGCCAACATTTGCACAGAGTTTTGGGTCGCTTGACTGCCTTCCGCTGCCACGGATATTACCAGCCTGGGCAGGCTTCTCTTTTTTGCCTACACCCTCTGTTAATAACATGGCTTATTGCTGGCCATAATGGCCGCACCTCGTTCCCTGTCAACCTGAGAAAGCTCTGCACTGCCCGCTGCTTGTGTCCCGTTCTGTTTGCTTCTGCGGTTGTTAGCCTGTGTGCACGCTCGTTCGGTTGTGTTTTTGTTTGTCGAGCGGTCGGTCATGCATACGGTATATCGGTAGTACCTCGTAGTACACACACACATACACAATGATCCCCCCCCCCACACACACACACACACACACACACATGCACTTGTATTGTATATGTTTGGCCAGCAGATTTCCCCAGCGATTGCCTTTGAAGCTGTTTCTCCTCCATCTACCGCTGCTGCTGCTCCACCTTCTCTTTCTACTCCTATTTGTGCATATTTTTGTTGTGCTCTTTCCTTCCATACATATTCCCTTAAGCTCACTTTGTTAACCGCTCTTCAGAGCATCCTAAGCTTCTTGGTTAAACAGTTTGTGGCCCCACCATATGGAGAATGTTGGAGTAAATGTATTTAAATTGGAGGGCAGTCCTTCCCCTGCTTGTGTTTGTTCATTTTCCTTTTAAGCACACAAATAATTTAATTAAAATGCAGAATGGCAGACGTAACATCAAATTGATTGCATCAACAAAGGGAAATTATTATGATTGATTTTGCTGCATGCCAACAAAGCCACGAAGCAGGCCTCTCTTGCATATGCATCATTCTGTAGTCTGCCGTCTGTTGCCAGTTTAATGTTGTTTATGTGTATGTTGCCTCCAGTCTTGTTGTCGCTTTAATAGTTGTCATCATTGTCATTGTAGGGGCGCCATCAACGCCATCATCAATATGACAATGTACCAAGCGGTGTGTGCCAGGACAGACAGACAGACAACAATGAAGCTGAGGATAACTGCAATCCTCGCCAGGCAACAATGTGACCCAACAATCCGCTCTACCTACAATCATCATTCCCCAAGCAATCCCTTACCTATAGTTTACCTCCTACAGCAATCCGCCATTCAGCATGCGCATCCTCTTCCAATCCTCCATTCACCGTGCTTCCACTCGCTGCGGAAGTGCATAATCGAAATGCAATAAAAATAGTTCGCCAAGAATGCAGCAGTCGTGTATTGCGACTAAAGGGCTACCCTGGTGCGCCAGGGTTTATTTAAAGTTCTTTGTAATTCAATCAAGAATTGTATTTGCACAATGAAAGGTATTAATAGATGTAAAGTTAATACCAAACTGAGAATAGAGCACAGACTCTAGGCAGCAAAATAAAGTGCCGTTTCTTTGCACGAAGATTTCGTATTTACAGAGAGCCAGCGAGGGGCTATAATAACAGTTTGTGACAAAAACTCCCCCGACTTAGCAGCGTTGTTGTTGTTGCTGAGAGAGCTTAGGAACACCGAAATTGCGAGAGAAGATCGAAGCAAAGAGGAGTAGTGACAGAAAGAGCCAACAAAAACGACGGCATTGCGACGCAATGCAATCGAGAGAGAATAACGAACAACAACAATGCAGCTCTCTCATCTTAATTTCTGCCGAGAGCTTAACTACGAGAGAGTGCGTGCGTGCGAGCAGCGTTTGAGCAGAGATCAAGCGATAAGACAATTGCGACTAACGGCAATGCAAACGAAATGCAAAACGAAAATGCAAGAACAGTGGAACATGTTTAGAGAAATTAGGTACAGAAAGCTCAAGTCATCTTCATAGTCATCCCAAATTAAAACAATTCTACTTTTCAGTCAATAAACACTCAGCGTTACAAAATGAACACCACTGCCTGTTATATCCATCTCCAAAAAGATACAATGAGCATGCCCTTTTGTCCTCTTGGCCATAAAAAGTATCAACAGCAATGCAACAACACTGGCGGCCTCCTCTCGCTGCATACTTAAACATTTCCGCTGCTGTTGCTTGCGCCTCTGCAGAGTGACTTTTCTTTATTCCCCAGGTGCCGCCACAATGTATATTGTGTGCGTCTGGTGCGGCAAGTTGGTCAATTAATTATGCTCACCTTTCGGCAAAAGTCCGTTCTCGATGATGCGTGCCTCGAGCAACAGCCGCGGCAGTAGCAAACAAAGCGCAATCAGTATATGGACAAAGGCCGCCGTTGGTCCGCCGTGTGTCCACAGGGCACGCAACGTCCCGCCGCGTGTCTCCTCCTCGAGGCCGTCATGGGGTGCCAGCGTGCAGCGTCGCTCCCGTGCGCCTGTGGCCAATTTTATGCCATCGTTTGCCAAGTTGCCAACCTGTCAAGAAGTCAACGAATATTTTGGGGTATTATTAAAAGGAAGTAAAGAAAGAGAAAATAAATAGTTTATTCTGTGAAGTGGAAATGTGTGTGTGCCAAAAAACGTTTCATATATTCATATAATTTGCCAGCTGGAAAGGAGTTCATAGTATTTATAGTGTGGAGGCAGGGGTAATGTCTTGGCAATGTCTGCCCTGCCGTTTCTTAGATTTTCCATCGCTTTCCCTTTTTAGCCCTCGAGCGGAAATTGAAATTTGCTCAAGAGTATAGCAACTACTTCCGGGAAAATGTAATTTATTCGCTCTATGTTAAACCTATTTCCACTAACATTTCAACAGCTCATTTTGTTGTTTCAAATGTTGAAAAATAATTAAGTTTCCACTTAATTTATTTTGGCGTCAAACAAAAGACCCAGAACAATACAAAATATCCAATTTAATCACAGTTGCGCTTTTAGGCATCCACACGTGTCCACTGGGGCTTTCATTTTGTATTTTCTGTTCTGCAACTTCACGTTTTTCTCCAACCCATTATAAATATAAATGGCGGATTTTACTCACTCATTTTGCTATTTGTATAAATCTATTGTGAAAGTTGCATAAATTGCTGAGGCTTCAGGCACGCAGACAAAATATGTTTCTCTTATTATATTTTTGTATTTACACACAACAGAATTCGCTGCAAATCCTAATTGATGTTGCGGATACTATTTGAATAACATGCACAAAAATTGTATTTTTGATAAATAGAAAACATTTAGAAATCATGCTACATGCGCGACAGAGACAATTTTATAGCCAAAAGTCAAGGTCTAACAAAGAGGTCCATACAAAAACAAAATATATATTTTTAACTTAAAATAACGCCTTAATGGATCATATAAATCCAACAATTGGATTTTGATCAGGCGTTCAAGCGCAGCACATCTCATTGAAATAAACAGCAAAATGAACAAATGTTCAAGTAGATAATTAAACACAAATTTTAGGGCCACCGCCCACCTGCAGCTGGTTTTGAGTTTCATTTTAAACTGCAGCCCTTCTCTGAGCAGAACTCATTTGCAACCGCACACACATTGAATTCAGAATCAATTCGAAAGACTTTGCCAAACCAAACACTCTAACAAGATATGCTGAAATGTAGATTACTTCGACTTGAACTCCTTAGTTATTCGGAGTTACCATTAATAATCCAAAGCCAAAGCCACAAACTACTCAATTATTCTTAGTTTGCCTGTGACTTCAGGCAGTCAAATGCTATCACACAGACACAAGATTTTCATCAATACTGTTGGCATAATTATTCCAAGGAGGAGGAGTGCAGCCACATAGCCACTAGCCTTCCATCAATGTAGATTAGTGCTACAATCAATCTTCAGTGCCTGGACAATACAATCGGTTAAAATGACTGCACATCAAGGACCTCTGACTGCCATTTTGTGGCAATGTTTCTTCCAATCACTTGCCTCCACTCGAATTTTATTGTATAAATTACACCAAAAAATACATAAATCATAACACAATTAGCAACAGGCGGGACACCACTAGAGGCTTATCAAAGAGTAAAAGATATCCCTCAACCATTGAGGCAGACCACACAACAGATTTTTTCTGACCTCTGGGGGCAATTAATAAAAAATGCATACAAAATATATAAAATTGACAAAAAATCATGCAAAATTCAGAGTGCACTAACGAATGTTTTGAGGGGTTTTTATGTGTGTGTGTGTGTGTGTGTGTGTGTGTGTGTGTGTGTGTGTATTAAATGCATTTTTTATAAGTATAAAAATGGCAAACGCCACGCAATTTGATAGTGAAACAGACACAAAGGCGTTGCGCATACGACGCGTTGGCGCATAAACAACAGCGCGAAAAAAACAGAGGGAACATTTTTGCACGTGACAAATGGTAAAATGAAATATTTATATACGTATATAAATCCTGTGGAGGATACACTTGCGCACTCTATAGAACATAAAAATCACGTGCACCATACATATATAAATAAATGCGAGCTGTCGGGCTTTTAAATTAAAAACAAGGGGCGACACGCTATAATCAAGTGAATAGACGATGGGGATACCTCACGTACGTGAATTGCGGATAAGCAAGAGGTGCTGGAAATTATTTTATACTATATAAAATACATGGGGTGAGCAAGAAAGAAGAAAGAAATAAGGAATGAAAATAAATGAGATAGCTGCCTGCAGTTTTCTATATTTTTTGTGGAATATAAGAGGAATTATATCCGCATTATTAGTGCAGATCAGAGATATATTTATAATAAGGCTTTATCGAATTTCTTTCGAATCCGAACATGCCCATTTTTGAGTGCAGCAGGTACCGGGTAAAACAAGCAGACATCAGCATGATGAAGGAGCTACATTCGGAGCAGGATGAGTGCCCAGGAGTAGAGGAGCAGGAGCAGCAGCAGTAGCACAACCAGAAGGAGCATCGGCAGCTTCACTTTGTTTGGCTTGCTCTGGTTTTGGCTCTGCTGACTCTGGCACTGGGTTTCATTTTTGCCACTTTTTTGTTGGTTTGGTTTGGTTTGGTTTCGCTTCGTTTCGTGCAGGCAACAATGATTGCAATTTGCAAAAAGCGAAAATGCATTTGAAGTGCATGCGTGGGGAAATGAGTGGGGGAAGGGAGTGTGGCGCGGGATGTGTGTGGCACTATGGGAACGTGGAAGCGCTCCCCCCAAGCGAGATAATACATTTAAATGTGCCGAAGCACATTTCGCGGTTCTTTCACTGCCGGCGAATGAACTCAAGCTGCAACTCCATGCCACCCAAATTAAGCGCACCATCTCCCTCTCCCTCTCTTTCAGAGGGAAGAACCTTTTCCGCTCATCATTTTTCCATATGTATGCGACTGCTGCCTGGAGGTTAACCCCTCTCATTAGCCCCAGTTCATGGGTTGCATCCCTGGGGGTTGGCTTTAGCTTTTCTAACATTTATTTGGTGTTCATATTTTTGTTGGAATTAACACGATATGCAAAAATATTGCAGAACTTTAGCTACTGCTCTTTGGTCGGTATATTAAATTCAGTTTAAAATTATTCATTTAATTCTATAATCCACAGACAATTACTGCTCATTATTATTTGCTCAAAAGTTTATTTTTTTTCATATTTTTTTTATATTAAATAATATAAATAATCCAGAATATAATTCCCCAATATACAGAGAATGATGAGGCCTCCAGATCGCGCAATAAGAGAAGAGAAATCAAATTTTCCATGAAGCATTCCCCTTTTAAGTGTCATAAATATCTTCTATTAGACCAGCTTCGAAATTACCAACCAAAAACTCGCTCTCAAAGTGCCTTAAACATGCCAAACATACTCTAACTGTGATCATTCATATCTGCCCTGTCACAATGCTAGTTTTCCACTTTGATGCACCTCTCTCCCACAGCCAATGTTGGTTAACCGATTCGTTACGTTTATTCCCCCAACACTGAATGCGGTTATCCAGACATGTCTCTGGCAGCCACCCTCCACCCCACCACTCTGCACTCTCTATGGTCCCCCGTCTATTCCTATTCTCTATCTTTATTCGTTTAATTTCGAATGCTGTGCAAATATAAAAGTCGCAAAGTTTTTGTGCATTTCGTCGCTGTTATGGGCTGTGTGTGTGTGTGTGTGTGTGTGTGTGTGACAATTGGAGCAGCTCCCCTGTGTGCGACGCTCTCTCAGTCGCTCTCTTTTTGTGGTGGGAGACTCCTTCCCTGGTGGAGTCTTATCGGCTGACACACCATAGACGTAATTGCGTCTGTACTGTCCTATGCTGGCTAAAAAGCAAGCAAAAACTATGCAATGTTCCTGTTTCCTGTTGCTGTCTACAGTTTGGGGTCTGGCACGGAGGTGGAGTTTTCATGGGGGTTCTCGTTTGGGGTACGGTCTGGTCTGGCTCTGATAGCCACGCCTCAATGGTCAATGTTGGGATTGCAGTTTTCAACCAATTTCTGTTTGTTGTCATTGCTGATGATGTTGTAGTTGCTATTGTTTTTGTTGCTGTCTTTTATTAAACGTTCGCCGACGTGTGATGAACCATCCATCTCATGCACTCTCTCGCTCTCTCTCACTCCCAGCTGTCTGCCTTGCTCGTTGGCGGTTTTGGTTTTGCGGAATCCCCTCACCCGTCTTTCCCTTTTTCTCTGGCGGTCTGTCTGGCCGCTGACTGATAGTCGCTAGCCTTCATTCACGACTTTTGTCCCTGTTTTGCTGACTGCTCCCTGCTGCCTGCTGCTGGCTCGTTGTCGCTTTTGTGGCTTTTTGGCAATGAACAAAACTGTCATGCGAATATTTGCATACAATTTGTATACCCTTTTTTGGTGGTTTTTAGCAAAGTTGGGACATGTATTGCCATGATCTGTCAGAGCATAAAACTCGTATAAACTGCATTTCCATGGGAAATTGTCAAAACTTTGTTGAATAAATAAAGGCACATAGAAATAGTGTTTGAACACTTCAGCAGGTAAAAGCATGATAAAAGGTTTTAAGAGATATAATTATTACTGTACGATAGACTTTTATAGATTTTCAAATACATTTAGATTGCTTTTCAATGGGGAAATAGATTTGAATTTGTAGAAAAAAACATTTTAGCACTGTCAAAACTATTGGACAATATATTTAAATAGCATTAAGAGTATATTATGAGCTATTTTTAACATAAAAACAACCCAAAATGGACATACAAATCCTTTCCAATAGCAAGAACTAACTCCCATTCCACATTTTACCCACCAACCATAGTCTGCTTGATACATTTGTATGCTCTATTTAAAGAACATAAACTTGTTCTTTATTCGTAAACCAATAAGGATATACAACAACCAAACAAACAAACATTCCATGGCTAATTAAAATCCTTAAATTGCATCCTTTACAGCTTTTTTGAGTGTAATCAAATGAGTGAAAAACAAACACTCAAATTTAATGATCCCTCTCTTTTTTGGCACAAATAAAAAGGTACTCAAAACCTGCCACTCGAAACGGCCACTCCAAAACATGTTGCAGGAAAAGCTCTTCAAAAGTTGATTTCCCACACAACTAAACAAAAATACCCTAACCAAGCATTTGCCCTGTCTCCTAAAAGCCATAATGAACTACTGTTTTGGCGGACAGGGCACACACTTAATGGAATTATTTTGCATTTTAGGGAGGAGGCAACAGCAGACGCTTGCCAGCCAAACAGACGCTTCCTGTGATAGGATCTCTGGTCAGTAGTTGGCCCGTCACATTCAATGGTGCACCGAAAAGGGGCAGACGCCAAAGCCAATACCAAACCCAATCCTCTTGCAGCTTTCACACACACTCAAATCAGTTGCCGTTGCTGCTCCTGCCCTTCCATTTCACTTGTTTTAAAAACAAGCCAATTATTTGTGAAAACTTTCACAGAGAGAGAGAGAGATAGAATCACAGGGAAATGTCCCTCATATGGAGAGCATATTCCCTCATCCTTTCTCCTTTTTTAAGTGGCTTTTACCAGGGGTGGAGGGAGCCATAGTTGTGTGTAAAAGTAAATGCCAATTGTTGGTTATTGCATGACTTTTTTTATATCTATCGAGTCCCATCATCAGCTGCCGTACACTTTATAGATGGATGACAAATAAACTACAAACCACACACACACACAAGAATAACCATCGGATGATATACAATTTTATATATAAAATCGCTAGAGCAAAGGAGTTGCAGCAGGTCCAGCAGGAAGTATAGGTTTGGTCATCAGACAGACAGGTTGCGGGAATGGGCAGAAATATGGGAGAGAAAAAGCCATAATTGCATTTATTATGCTGATAAAAGCAGAGACACTAACAGCCAAACAGAGCGGAGAGAGCACAGATAGAGCAAGGCAGGGTAAGAGCAGGCAAAAGCGACCAGGCGCAGCTGCCAGGGAAGAGCGAGGAGAGCGGCAGGAGGCAGAACACTCACGGTGCAGCCAGGCTAAAGGATAACCAACGCAATTGCCAGACAACACTACGTCTGAAGTGTCCATGTGTCCCTCTCTGCGACTATGTGTGTCCCTATTTGTGTGTGTCCTGTCAGCCATTTTGCGGATGCTGCACTGAAAAGGACCCACAACGTATGCTCCTACTCTGCTGCTGCTGCTGCTGCTGCTGGCTCCTCTGGCTGTTGCTGTTTTTGTTTGCAAATAAATTTAATAACGACGAATAATGCCACTAAAAATAATTCACACAAACACACAAAGGAGGGGCGACAAGAGAAAGCAGCTAAGGGACAAGCAATATGGAGCACCACCAGAGAGACAACAACAAAAAATTTAATTATTGAGTGCAGCCAGGCCACAGCTATGCACACACACACACACACACATGGCCATATAAATATAAAGCCAAAGGACAAAGAAATTTCTCCCCACCGGGTACAGAGTTAATTATTGTAAGGGCTGGCGGTGCATGATCCCGCTTAAAATCCCATTTGCAATAAAAGGCCCAAACCAACCACAGAACTCACCTTAAACACTGCCGACGTGAAGAATACTGGCAGGAGGATGAACACTACGCCAGAGAGCACTATCTGTAGATTCAATTCCGCAACGGGCTCAATTTTCCAGGGTATCAAAGAGCAACCTGGAGGAAAGGGGGAAAAGTAATGGTTTAGAAATATTTCTAATATAATTACTTATTGCGTGCTCTTAGCGTTCTTTTGTTTTTACGAATTATGCACAATAAAATTAAAATTTAAAAATTACTATTTAAGGATTCAGAATTATGAAAAATATTCAAAGTTCTCTTATGCTTTCTTAAGTGTTTCCTGTCATGGAAGCCATCATATTGGTTACCATCAAATGAAATGAAATATAAACAAAATCATCTACCAATACGTTTCCCCATAAAGATTTCCCTAAACTGCAGCTGAATATTAAACCCAAAATAAATTATGCAAAAGACCAACTGCAACAAAGATATACATATATGGAGAACCACAATGTATAAGAAAATGCACAAATGCAACTAATGTGGCAATCGTGTGTATTTCAGCAAGAGCAACACACAAAGGCAAGAGAAAATTTATTTAGTAGAGAAAATACTCACCCAAGAACCTGTAGGCGCCATGCATGGCCAAATATCCCTGGAAGAGGGTGAGTAGGACACCGTACCAGATCGACCAGAGCGAATTCAGATGCAGATAGCTACCAGAGTCGTGACCAGAATGCTGCAGATTGGTGTAGCGACTCTGGTGGCGCTTCGATTTAATGTACTTTGCCTGCAGCTGCTGCTGCTGTTGGGTGAGGCTGCTGCTGGTTGCTGTTGTGGCATTGGTGAGCACCGAGTTGCACATGCTCGAGTTGAGACTGCCACCGCCACCTCCATTGCCTCCGCCAGCGGATCCTCCGCCAGCACCATGATGGTGCTTGCCACCCATTTTTGTTCTATGGGGGATATTCCTTTGTTTGTCTTTCACTCCTTTCGAGCGACACTCTTTTGTTGTATTATCCTACTGTTTTTCACTGCTCCACCGGGTTGTTGTTTTTCTGGGCTCTCTCCACGCGACAACGAATAATGTTGACAATCAATTTCTGTCTGCCTGCCGCTCTCTATCTCCTATATGTCTGTGTGTAGCTCCCTGCCCAACGTATTTGTATTGATTTCGTATTGATTTTGCTCGTGATTTTCTATTTACTCAAGAGCTGGTTGCTTTTCCCGCTGATGATTTTCCTGCTCTGCTCATTGTTTGGCCCCCACTACTCCCCGGTCGGCTGTTTTGTTGTGGATAATATTTGCTCGCTGATATGACTCATTATAGCATCGTCCGACGATTCTGATTCTGTTTGCTGGCGCATATTTGTGGAAACTCAACTGTGCACAGTTTTTCCACCACCTACACGCCTAGCCTTGATTGCCACTGATTTGATGATGCGACGACGTCTGCAATGAAATCGAGAATTGGAAAACGTGTGAATTAGTTGAGGGACTACACAAATAAATACAAGGGGGGAAAAACAAATGCAGCAATTGATAGGAGATAAAGTCATACAATAGAGATTGATACCCTAAATTAGGAAAAAGGAAATGGAAATATATAAATGTATGGGAAATGATTCTTAGATAGGAATATTTGTTGAATGAAGATTAAACTTATTTGAGCTAATCAACTTAATCAACATCAAGCAGCTGTCGCGCACTTTAGATATCTTTAGTGACACACGCTTGTCCGTAATGCATATACTCATTAACATACTCATTAACGCTCTTCTTTTGCACTCCGTCAAGTGCACCCAGCACTAAAGCGAGCACACACGACTATAACTTCTGTTTCATCGAATCAAACTTTGCGTAACTTCCTATGCAATGTTTTAATGCGTATCGTTACGTTACCGTAGCAAACAAATAAAAGCATAACCCCGGAATATGTGCACTTCTTTTAGCACTCCACTAGCCGAATATGCCCTCACTGGCACGCGGTAATCAGTTTCGCGCGCGATCTCACTTTTTTGCATTCCTTTATTCTCCCCCCACGCACTGAGCGACGACGCGCCATTTGATGTTCTGCTGCAGCGACCGAGAGCAATAAAACAACAAAAAAGCTGTGTTTGCATTTCTACCTGCGTAAAATATTTCGCAGCGGCAGATCAGTCGAGTCGAACCCATGTAAATTGCAACAACAGTTTTTCAGAGCTTTGCTTTCTCTGGCCCTTCGCTAATAGATTCGCGGACATGCACGGACTTGCAAGGCAGAGGCATGGCCACAGAGAGTATGAGGTGGGTGTATATGAGAATATGTACTTAGGTGCCTCAGTAATAAATATAATTTATTGCTAGATGTAATTTAATTTAGCTGATTTTAACAATAATGTCGATGCTCATGGAGGTCTCTTTTATAAGCATTTCCCCGTAATCTACTACGTATAGTCACTCTTTTATTTCCACTAATATTTTCGCTACATTTATCATCATTTAATCAACTCATCCGCATCCTACCCATTGAAGGATATACTCGGTTCATTAAATACTCACACAATTAAAACAAATCCTTTAATAAACCAACAACTAGTGCTGGGTGTGTTTTTTTGTGTGTTTTTGTGCGAGTTCAGCGTTAGATTAAATAATTAGAGAGGCAGACGACAATTATCAATATGTAAAGCGCTTTAAAAATTCAACAGAATTTAACAACGCACTTATACGCATGAATTATTTAATGCCGACAAGCGGAAATCCAAGCCGTATTTTAATTAGTCGATGGACTGGCAGCGAGACACAGACACACAGACTGAGACAGAGGCAAAAGCTTGCCTGGGCCTGGCCTGGCCAATGGCCAAATTGACGCGTTCAAACTGGCAACAATTTAAACAAGATTACAACTGGCAAATGGATGTGGATTGGATATGCAGGCGGATGGGGCATGTAAACTATAAATCAATCCTCAGGGGAAACACAGGAAGTGAGCGGAGACTGTGGACGGTCGGACGGTCAGCAGGAGGCGGCCATGCGGTGTCTGTAAACCAATTTGGCACATGGGAGTTGCCAGAGTTGTCACAGTCTCGCTGTTTGCTGGCACTGGGACTGCCAGGGTTGCATTTGGGTGTTGCAGTGTTGCTCTTGGGTGTTGCCGCTGTTGGGTGTTGCTTTTGGGTGTTGCCGCGCTGTCGCATAATTAAGGCAACGGCAGACAAACAGAATGCGAGACAGAGAGAGAATGGCGGGAAGAGTGGCAGACACAGACAGAGAAGGAGAAGCCTCCAGGGAGGAGGTAGGGCTTTTGTCTGGGGCCCTTGTTTTATGCGTCGCGCCTCGAGTTCTGCCACATTGGAGGCAACATAATTATAGGCCATAGACACACACACACACACACACACGCACACATCCGACAAAGAGGAAAGAGTGGAGTGTGTGTGTGTGGCAGGTAAACTATTTGCAGCTTTGCGTGTTGCAGTGTTGCAACAAAACATGTGTAGCGGAACCGTTAACACTGATGCGGCAGCGGCAGCGGCAGCGGCATCAACGAATGCCTTTCAACAAAATGTTGCGTTTTGTACAACACCACCGCAAAAGAGAGCGAGGGAGGGGGAGAATTGATGTTGCCCCAAAGGGAAACGCAATTTTCTTGCCTCTTTATAGCATTTGGTCGGTGAGTTCCGCTGCTTCTCCGCCTCCTCCGTTTTGTTATGCAAAAATAATAAAATGTTTGCAATTTGTTCGAGTGTCCCCGGCGCTATTTGTAATTAAAAAGTGTTGCACAGCGAGCGAAAGAGAGAGAGAGAGAGAGAGAGAGAAAGAGTTAACAAATGTGCAACCATGTTTCCTGCACTTTTTTACTGCCGCTTCGTACGTCTCTTTAGAGTCCCGTAATTGACAGGATTTAATTGATAATTGCTGTTGTACGAATGAGTGTTCAACAACAAATGGCAAATGGCATGTCAATGGCTCCGAAAATGGGAACGCCAAATGGTAATGGATTTGGCATCGTTATCGGCTTTGGACAGGGGAATATCACTTAACCGCATGTTATTGAAACGGCACTGAAATCTCATTGAATTGATGATTATAATATGGTAATTTGAGGAAGCACAATGGGGAATTAACTTTTAGAGTAGAATATTCAGTTTTATCGTTTATGAATCGGGGAATTCACTTTTAGATATTCGAGTGTCAGTCCCTTCTTAATTATTGAGTTAATCTGTTTTAAAACAATCGGTTGGGAATCAGTTATTAATCAGTTAACAATCGGTTATAGTCAGTTCACATTTATTTTGTTCATAAAGAGCATTTAATCAATTGCGATCTTGGCTGAAATTAGTAGAAAATGTTAACAAAAACGTTTGGTTATGAGTGAAAAATTAGCAAATAGATCGACCAAAAAGTGCGCATAATTTCAGTAACTTTCATTGTGTTATTCCCTCAACCAATTCGTTTCTAAAGCAGCTTTTAATCCGTTACCAAATATTTTTAAATGATTTTTTGCATCATTTTTGCACACATTTCAAACGCTAGAAATGCTCTAAATTTAAAACCCGAAAGCGAAGGCACTTTAAAGCCTTGTCCAGCCAAATATCATTGCAGTCAGTTAACTTTCGGCATGCCAAAAGTTTTCGACATGGAAATTTCGTACTAAATTGTGAGGTGTCAAATCTGAAGCAGTTGACATCTGCCATAAGCCCGACAGGAGCTTGTCAAGACAATATTCCAACGACAAACTGTTACCATATTCAGAGACGCATCCAGAGAGACTTCCGAGTCAAGAAACAATCAACGGAATTGTAGTCGAGTGGAGCAAAGGACTTCACTGCTTATCCTATCTGAGAAGCAGATAGAAGCTTCCCCTTACACAAACCAACATGGGATTAGACCTGTTCCTGTACTCTGGAGTGACTCACACATGTTGATATTAATTTTATGTTAATTACAATCTTCACAAGATTGTGTGTCTGCAGCTTCAACTGCGTTCTGTTTCATGTTTGTCTTTGCCCAGTGACTGTCTACCCCATGACATTCCAGTCCCTTGGTTCATATTCTACGCCGGAAATGGAGGGTGGTTAATGGGCTTTCCTTTTGGTATTGCTGTAAGGCTTTCCTTACCATTTCCTTCCCTTTAACTTGAGGCATACTCAACATCAGATTAGCCCAGCCGCAAAAGTCATAAATGCAGATGTTTACATTTCTTTTTCCCTCCTCCTGCGACTCTTCCTTTGGGGCATTTGCTTTGTCTTACAGTTTGGAAATCCACGCGCCAGGACCAGTGCTTGTTTTTTTGTTTCATGTCCTTGGGGCAATTTGTCGCGTTCGCACGACTTTTACGCAAATGAAACAGCCACTTTATGGCTGCTGACTGACTGCCTGCCATTTCCCCGTGTGTGTGTGTGTGTGTGTGTGTGTGTCTCCCCGTCTCCCTAGAATTTTCTTTTGCGAGTCATGGCGTAAAATTAAAATGCTCTGCCCCAACCCCCAAGGTGGCTGCTGCTGCTGCTGCTTCTCCAGCTGCTAATGCAAATTAAAAACTTCACTCAACTGCATTTATTTGGTTAACATAGTTGTCCCCCCCCC